TCTCTTGTGTTGAATTTTGCATCACTGATTAGATAAGGGAAGTTTCTGAATGATCTCATGGAAAGTTGTCCAATGTGGTCTCTGTTTCTCTTTCTGCCTCAGGCAGTCCGATTATTTTAGGTTAGGTCTCTTGAGGTAGTCACTCATCTCTTGAAGGTTTTGTTCTGTCTTTTTGAGCTTATTTTCTGTGTTTTTAAGAGTTTGGGCTATTTCTATATTTTGATCCTCAAGCTTTGAGATTCTTTCTTCTGCTTGGGTAATTCTACATTCCATGCTTATCAATTTGTTATTTATTTCATTCACAGTATTCTTTATTACTGTTAACTCAGATATCAGCTCCTTCCTAGTTTCTTCTTGTGTCTCCTCAATTCTTTTTAATCTCTCCATTATTGTTTTGATATCTACATTTGCAGTTTGAGACCCTTCATTCCGGGGACTTTTCATTGTTTGCATTCCAAAGGCAGTTTTCTCAGTGTCTGCTCTCTCAGGCGTGTGGGAGAGACTCATACTCTTCTTTTGGTTTTTCTTCATTTCTGTAGATTTTTCTCCCTCTTCCCCTTTCCCTCCCCCTCTACAATTTTGTTTTTGAGGGAAGGTGGGGTTGCTTTTATTTCTCTTCTGCAATGACCTGTTCTTCCTTATGAGGGTCTTCTGGCTTTGTTCACTTTTCCCTCTGCTTTACAGTCTGTCTGTTCAGCAGTATGCAGTCTTGGTCCCTAGATTTAAAAAGGGGCCATATAGAAGAGGAAAATAATGGAGGAAGGGGGGTCAATAGGGAGTTAGAAAGAGGGAAGTGTGAGAGGGAAAACAGATATACATACCAACTATCAGGTGGGAACGAGACACAGGGCTGGGAAGAGGTGAAGAAAGACATGTAAGAAAGATTCCCTAAAGAGTACTGATAGCTTCACACAGACAGGGCAATAAAATCGAGAAACAGTGTAAGTCAGAAGGTAAACAACAAACATGATCTAAACCAACAGTTACAATGATAAAATCATAAGTCAAAATAAGCGAAAGAGAGAAGTGCGAGAGGGATAACATATATACATACCAGCTATCAGGTGAGAAAGAGTCACAGGGCCAGGAAGAAGTGAAGAAAGACACGTAAGAAAGATTCCCTAAGGAGTACTGATAGCTACACAGAGACAGGTCAATAAAATCGAGAAACAGTGTAGATCAGAAGGTAAACAACATACGTGATCTAAACCAACAGTTACAATGATAAAATCATAAGTCAAAATAAGCGAAAGAGAGAAGTGCGAGAGGGGAAACAGATATACATACCAACTATCAGGTGAGAGAGAGACACAGGGCTGGGAAGAAGTGAAAAAAGACAGGTAAGAAAGATTCCCTAAAGAATACTGATAGCTACACAGAGACAGGCCAAAAAAATCAAGAAACAGTATAAGTCAGATTACCAAACGTAATCTAGACCAACAGTTTCAATGATAAAATCATAAGTCAAAATAAGCGATCAGACTAGAGTCACTTCTGTGATCTCCGATTCCAGCCTCTCCCTTTTGTTTTTCATTGCAGCATAGGGGTGGGGCTTTGTCTCCTGTTTCGCACTGTTGCCTTAGAAACTGAGGTAAAGTTTGTTGATAGGTGGGCGGGGCAATGGAAGTCTCTGCCTGGAGAATAGCAAGGTAGTTTACCCAGATCTGTTTTTCTCCACTTTTCTGGGTCCCCCGGCTTGGGGTCTCGCACTGGGTGCCTCAGCCTGGGTGGGCCCGGAGTTCCAGAGCTCCAAAGGGCAGGCAGTGGGCGGCGAGAGTGGCTCTGGGCCCCCCACAGGGTACTTCAGCCAAGAATGGGACCGGTGTCTCTGAGGGGCGGGCGCCCAGAGCCTCCCTGTGTGACTGGCAGTGCTGGGTGCCGGGCTGGAGACAATGCAGCCGGGGAGAGAGCCAGAGGGAGCAGGGACCCAAAACTTCCCCGCACGCTGTAATATCTGGCCTTAGGAAATGAGGCAAAGTTTGTTGCTAGGTGGGCGGGGCAATGGAAGTCTCTGCCTGGAGAATGGCGAGGCAGTTTAAGCAGATCTGTTTTTTTCCACTTGTCTGGGTCCTCCGGCTTGGGGTCTCATGCTGAGTGCCTCAGCCAGGGTGGACCCTGAGTTCCAGAGCTCCAACGTTCCAAAGGGCAGGCTGTAAGCGGCGAGAGTGGCGCTGGGACCCTACAGAGTACTTCAGCCAGAAATGGGACTGGTGTCTCTGAGGGGTGGGCACCCAGAGCCTCCCTGTGTGACCGGCGGCTTGGTGCCGGGTGCCTGGGCTGGAGACAATGCAACCGGGGAGGGATCCGGAGGGGGCTGGGACTGGAGACTTCCACACACGAGTAGAATGGCAGCAGTGGTGGGGGGAGCGCAATATCTGGCCTTGCGTGGGACTGAAGTTCCTGGGCCTGACCCCAGTACGGTCGGTGGTGGGCTGGGGGATGGGGGTAGAAAAGTAATAGCCTTTTTGGGAACTCACATTCAGAGAATCTCACCAGTTCACCTATGCCGTCGCCATCTTGCCCCGTCTCCTCGCCACATATCTTAACCAGCCATTTCACAATTTTTGAGTCTATGGTTTAAAAGCCAAAGGATTTTAATAGTTCAGTTCTAAATATGAAAAATATTTGATTTATAAGATATGGTTGGATTTTTCCCCCCAACATTTTAAAGCTTGGGTTAAAATCGACTAAACAAAGTAAGTGCTATGCTTCATAGTTTCTGGCATCTGATGCTCTAAGCTTCATTTTATGTCATGCTGCATTTCTTCCCCTTACTTATGTCTGTTTCCTTGCAGTCCACCTTATTATTCCAGGCCTTAATGAAACCACTGTAAAACTTCCTGCATCCGTGATGCTTGAGATTTCTGATGCTCTCAAGACACAATTAGGTAAGCAGCAAAGTTTTATTCTTGGACTCTGCAATGACCAAGTTCTAATACTGATATTGTTAGGAAATTCAAAGAATCTTGCAAAATGAACTGTTTGAGGATATCAAAGTAAAAAAGTAAGGTCAAGAAGGTTGGAGTGCTGGATGTATTCATTACAAATCACATTATATAGGATAATAGTCATTTTATATTTACATGTATGAAATAACAGTGAGCATTTATGAAATTATCCAAAATACATACTTTTTTATGGGTATAATTTTTAAATAGGGTAATTGTTTGAAATTATACTATTAAGGGGCTACTAAATATTTTCAAAGAGAATTGGTATGAAGGTCAGTTTCATTAGAATTATTACTTATTTGAGGTTGATATTGCTTGCTACTTCTAGAAAGAATTGGATGTGATTTCAGTGTTTAAGAAACATAAAAAACAACAATTTTAAAAAGTAGAATTCACTTAAAAGGGGCTCAGGGAATAATTATGGAGGTCACTGGGCTGTTAGTTCATCTGAGTATGAAATTAGACTCTGAATTGTCTCAATAGCAGAGGATCTCAAACTTGATCATGCATCATAAGCATTTGGAGGGCTTGTGAAAACACACAGACTACTGAACCTACCCCCAGAGTTACTGATTCAAGATCTAAGCTGGGCCTGAGAATTTGCATTTCTAACAAGTTTCCTGGTGATACTGATGCTGCTGCTCCAGGGACCACACTTTGAGAACCACCCCTTCAACGTTGCTAGAGAATGTCTTGGGCTATTGATAAATGTGGAAGAAAACAGCATGGTGTGGTAGAAACCAAACAAAACTGAAAAATACAGAGTGTTTTCCCTGAGCTAAGCACTGGCTCCGAACTTTAACATTTAAAGTGATTGAATCAGCACATTGCATGGATGAAGGACCAGAGGCCTGAGCCCCTGTTTGACAACGTTCATTCAATAAATACTTACTAAGCATTACTTACTAAGCCAGAACTGCAAGTTGCAGTTATAATGGTGAGTTACACAGACAAGGTACCTGCTTATGTTGAGACCTCAGACAAGGCTCTTCATTTCTCCTCCCTTGTTGGGGGCCTGGCCTGTCCCCTTCAGTTGATACTTTCTCTTTTTTGATGGAGATGGAAAAATGACAAGTAAGATACAACTCAATTTTTTCATTCAATAAAATACTGTGAAAGAGGACAACAGGCTGGGGTCCTAAGTGGGCAGACCCTTTGGTCAAACTACGGTTTGCCATGCACTCTCTGTTGTAAGGAACGTGAACCCCCTGGGAACCTCCCATTGATGTTCCTGGCAGGTAGCTGCTGAGCAAGTGAAGATTCCAGAAACCAATAACTCCTTTTCTTATTTCCCCTTTGCCCTCACTGCCCTGAATATTTATTAAGGAAAAAAAATCAAACCTAATGAGGTACCAGGTTTTGATGTGTCTTTGTTTTCTTTTTTCTAATTTTCTTCTTTGGGGAGTAGAGCCATGTGGAGATGTTCACAAGTTCTGTCTACACAGTGTCAAGCTACTTAATTTAAAAAAAGAAAAAAGAAATTGCTGTCTCTTCATGTGTTTTTCAAATATCCAGATACTTAACATTGCATAAACAGGGTTATCTAGATATGTACGTAAGTTACTGTTTTTCATTTTTTGCTTGTTTGATGCAAAACACTTTGGTTAAAAGAGCATTATTTTCTATTTTTTGAGTTGGTGTCACTCTGTTGCACAGGCTGGAGTGCAGTGGCATGATCACAGCTCACTATAGCATCAGCCTCCTGGACTCAGACAATACTTCCACCTCAGCCTCCTGAGTAGCTGGAACTAAAGGTGTGCACCATCATGCCCAGTTAATTTTTTAAATTGTTTTTGTAGAGATGAAGTCTCACTATGTTGCTAAGACTGGTCTCAAACTCCTGAGCTCCAGCAATTCTTCCACCTTGGCCTCCCAAAGTACTGGGATTACAAGTGTGAGCCACCATGCTTGACCTTGGAAGAGTTTTTAAAGGTGACTCTTAAATTCTCTTTAGGAGTAAATTTTGAGAAACTACTAGAGGAAAGGAATAAAAAAATCCTTAACTAGGTAGAAAAGCATTTAATTGGGGATTGCTAGACTTATATTTTTAGAAAAATTTTCAGAACATAGGCTAGCCGGGCTCGTTGGCTCAGGCTATAATCCCGTGCCTTTGGGAGGCTGAGGTGAGTGGATTGCCTGAGCCCGTGGGTTCGAGACCCGCCTGGGCAGGCTAGACCTCATGTCTACAATAAATCAAAAAAAAAATCAGCCAGGCGTGGTAGCGCATGCCTATAATTCTGGCTACTTGGAAGGCTGAGGCGGAAGGATCGCCGGAGCCCAGCAGGTCGAGGTTGCGGTGGCCGGGAGCGGCCACTACACTCCAGTCTGGGCGACAGAGTGAGACTCCCACTCAAAAAAAAAAAGTATGGGTTACCATCTTAACAAGATGTAAAAATATTTTCCAACATATCTTTGTAATTTTATGCAATCCTTATATGTTTACTTCAAAATAATCATACCTAGTAGTCCTAGAGTGAGTTACCTACAAGAAAATAGGTAAGTGACTCTGAACTTTTTTTCTTAACATTTACAGCGGATTTAATCATTTCCCTTTTGGCTATAAAATCCTGTGACTCAACCCTATATCATGTAAATATGGTACTGCCAGGAAGTTTCCAAATTAAATTTCCTGAGAGAGCCTGTGTCCTGTGTGTGGAAGAGTCAAAGCTCAGGGCTCTTACACTTTACTGTTCTCTGCCCAAAGACTGTATACTTTTCCTGTACATCCTGAGAAAAGTGTTTTTGGAAGGAGGAATAAAAGGAACCAGCCAATCTCTTATTGATTTGGTCTCTGATGTGTCCATTAAAACAACAAAAACCAGGGTTTATGAAAAAGACTGAAAGTGAACAGGGATGTTTCATAGACCACTGCTGTCAGTTTTGAAATGGGAGTTGTGATGGTCTGTTCATCTCTTCATCAGTGGACACTTAGGTTGTCTCCATAACTTTGTAATTGTAAATAATGCAATAAATGTAGGACTATAGGTACCTCTTTGAGGTGCTGATTTCACTTCCTGTGGGTTTATGGGTCATATGATTGTTCTGTTTTTAATTTTGTGAGGACCCTCCATGCTGTTTTCTATAATAGACGCACCAATTTACATTCCCATCACCAGTGAATAAGAATTTGCTTTTCTCTACGTCCTTGTTGACACTTTTTGGTAATAGCCATCTTAACAGAAATGAAGTAATATATTTCATTGTGGCTTTAACTTTGCATTTCCCTGATAATTAGTGATAGTGATGTTGAGTACCTTTTTCACATATCTGTTAGGCATTTTCATGTCTCTTTTGGAGAAATGTTTGTTCAGGTCCTCTGTCCATTTTTTAATTAGGTTATTTAGGGTTTGGAGGAGTATATTGTTATTATGACTTTTTGGTTTTGTGTGTGTATTTTTGTTTTGTTTTGTTTTTTGCTATTGAGTTGTATGAGTTCCTTATATATTTTAGATCTTAGGCCCTTATCAGATATATGGTTTGTAAATATTTTTTCTCAATCCATAGGCTCTTTTTCATTTCATGGATCATTTCCTCTGTTGTGCAAAAGCACTATTTTTTACCCAAAAAAGTGTGAGCATAAACAGTCTTTTATACTATCAAGGGAGAAATAAAATTTCCTAAAGTTAATTATCACTGTAATTAAGAAAAGTCATATTTTTTGAGGTAGAAAATTCTAAAAATAACATCCTCATTCCAGTAGAGCCCATCACGGGACATCAAGAAGTGTAATAGCTTTTGTTCTAAGAACATATGGTGTGAATAATAGGAGAAATAAACAAGAAAATCAGTATTACACACACATCTCCAAGAGTGATACAAAGGATTTGCTAAAGCTAAAACCTAGCCTGCCAAAAATTAAAGGAAGCAACTGTGATGGGAAAAGGTATAGAAAAAAATAGATAAAAAGAAATTTCTTGGGTTTTAGATCCTGTTCTGACTGCATTTTACTTTCCTATTGCCAAGACCGCAGTTGTGCTTAGTGTAGGTGTTGATATGAGCTGTTAAGGGTCCCCCATTCAAATATCTTCCTCATTAACCAAATTCTCTGATGTCTGAAATGTCATTTATGGAACTACAATATACCAGCCGGGCTCGGTGGCTCAGCCTGCAATCCCGCGCCTTTGGGAGGCTGAGGTGAGTGGATTGCCTGAGCCCGCGGGTTTGAGACCTGCCTGGGCAGGCAAGACCTCATCTCTACAATAAATTTAAAAAATTAGCCAGGCGTGGTAGCACACGCCTGTAATTCCGGCTACTCGGAAGGCTGAGGCGGAAGGATTGCCAGAGCCCAACGGGTTGAGGCTGCGGTGGCCGGGAACGGCCACTGCACTCCAGTCTGGGCGACAGAGTGAGACTCCAACTCAAAAAAAAAAAAAAGAAATACAATATACCTTTATAAGGAATTGGCAATATATAAAGAATGCAATTATCTTTTGGGAAGGTTGTTTACCTTTTTCTGTTCACAGCCTAATTTTAGGTTAATGTAATTGTAAGCTTAGAGCCTATTTGGAATAAAGAAATTTAGATCATTGACTGTGAAAGTCTAGGATCTGGAGATTGAAAAAAAAGTTCCTAGGTCAGCTAGGGAAATCAGTGAAAACATAGGCTATTATTAACTGGGAAGAAGCACTGGAAGGAGAAGAGGACACTGAAAAAGAATAGATTACTAAAAGAAAACCTTATCATTTTACATAAAAAAAATTCCTAGGTTGCATGCTCAAAAAACAGGACCAGAGCTCCTGAAAAATTTATAATCTGAAATTTTTTTTTTTACTGTGCTAACAATCAGAATGGTTCTAAACAAAAAGCATCAGGAGAAATATTGATAGCATTTAGGAATTTTAAAAATAGAATTTATGATAATAAAATTATACTAGATCTATTTTTATCAGTTACAGTTCCTTTTTATGCCCTGCTAAATTAACTTGAACAATGGTATTACATTTTTCTATTGTGCAAGCATGCAGTACAACTTCCAAAAATACACTTGACAACTGGTTGCAAATATACTAGCATTTGTGAACCTTATTTCTAGCATTTGAAATCATTCCTGAGAATAATTTGGTCCCTGTAGAAATCTGTTGTATGCCTTGCTCAAATAGAAATTAAAATTAATTTGCTTCTAAACATTGTGAAAGAGAAGACTTTCTAATTGTCTTTAAGTTTATCAGAAGTAAATAAGTATTTGGTGCCCACGTTAGCTGAAAAGAAGAAAAAGATCTTTACAAGAGTAAAGTGAACTAAGGTGTTTGTTCAAAGAGTAAAGTGAACTAAGGTGTTTATTCAAAGAACTTTGAGAGTACCAATTAGATCAGTAGTTCTCAAGAGAGGCATTTTGTCCCCCTGGTAATATCTGGAAATGTCTGGAGACCTTTTCTGATTGTCACACCATGGAAATACTATTGAAATCCAATAAGTAGAGGCCACGAATGCAACTAAACATCCAATGATATACAGGACAGTTTCCTCTACACAAACATTATCTGGCATCAAATGTCAGTAGTGCCAAAGTTGAGAAATTCAAGTTCTGTGCCGTGATAGGACTTTAAAAATCCTATCTGATTATATAACTAGTTCAAGGTGGCACAACCAGAGTATCTCAAATTCTTTCATGCCACTAAATTGTTTCAAAATAGTTACTGATCCAATGTGCTAAACAACTGAATACTGTATAGTTAATTTTTAAAATGGAATATCTTATTCACTTGGAAACTTTGATTTAGAAATATATTTTCTTTGGAAAAGAATATCTAAATTTTAGAAAGAAGTTTCCCAAATAGTTGCGTAAAGAGGGAAAAATGGGGGAGGGAAAGATTTCATTCTTTGCAAGGGATTCCCACAGAGACCAAAAGAGAAAATCTGTTAACACGCAGCTCAAATAAAATTTACTAACTGTTGGTAATTTTTTTGCCACAAATATTTTCAATAACCTAGTTTCCTGTGTGTTTCCTTGTGTTTTTCTAAAATTTCAATGTCATAACCTATTACATTTTTACCATGTATAACAACAGAAATTTTTTATTCCTTGATATAAAAAAATTAGGAGTACTTGAATATAAAATTCTAGACAGTATTTACAGTGCAACCTAGACCTTTCAGAAAGTTTATTTATGAATCAGAATGACTTGACATTTACTCCAGTATTGGGTTGTGATTTTTTTTTCCTTCATTCCAATACCAATTTAGATCTTACAGAATTAGTCAGGGATAAGAAAGAATTCTGCAGACTGTTATATACTTACACTAGTCCCTACTAGAAGTGCACAATAAAGTTGTTGATTGGCTATTGGAAAGGCATGTGACTAGATTAGAATTTTTTTAGTCTGTTACTTGATGTTTTGAATGAGGCATTTTTGGACACTATCAGAAGGAAGTGAGATAAATTGTTTGTTCTCTAACTTTTTAGCTAAGAATGAAACCTTGGCATTACCTGCTGAATCTAAAACACCAGAGGTTGAAAAAATCCCAGCATGGCCCATAACAGGTAATGAGATTGTTATGTTGTTGACATCGAGAAAAGAAAATACATGGTTTTTTTTCAAATAGTAAATTATCTGCTACTTTTTTTTTTTTTTCAGTTAAGCAGTGGTAGGAAATTCATTTTGATCACAAGCACAAATAAGTAGGAGATTCTAGGTCTTTAATGTCTGGGGAAACAACAGATACAAAATGAACTATTGAATCATGTAACTGATATGAAACACGGAAAGTGTATTTTTCACTCTAAATGAAAGTTGTTATCTCAACACTCAAATATTTTCATACTAAAATATAATACCACAGTTTTTGGTGCTTTTCTTATATAGGAAGACATGAGGCCATTTTTTATTTCTTCACTTTCACAAATTGTCAATGTAGTAGAATACTGTATATCCCGCACAAATCATTAGCTTGATGTTTATTGAAAATAACTTTACTTAGAAATAAATGTCTCTGGAACATTAACAATCCTAGTATAGAGCAAGTATAAGAGTTTAGTAAAGTCCTTTGAAGAATAAATGCAGTAAGCATTTCCCCCATAGCTTATCACTGTTACCAAAAAACAGTCAGCATTTCTTCTCTGAAGAACTACCTAAACTGGGTTCACGGGGGAGACATTAATCTTTGAGCTACAGAGTTTTTGCCAGAACAATACCACCTTATCAGGACATGATGAAGCAGACATCTGGCAAGAATTCCACCAATCCATATTTGACAAAGTAATTCCAATCTAAAGTGATTTTTTTAATCCATAAAATTGCTATTCCTTGAAATATTGGTGATCTTTACCTTTTACTAAACTTTTAGAATTGTAACTAAGTCAAATAGCTTTAAGAAACTAATTCAAGTATGAGTATTTCTGATACAGCAAGATGAGCATGATCCTGTCTAAAGAAGAAAGGGGAACCTTTCAACGCCACCTTCATGGGGGTTGGGGAAGAGGTAGCTATTGGAATAACCCATTTGGATGAAATTCCTAGGTTGTTCCTGACTTCAGTATATTTGATCAATACCAAGAGAAGCATGAGCCCAAATCAGGGGGTGACTCCAAGTTCTTTTCTGCCTCAAAGATTCTACCCCATTTTCCCCAATTATACTTTCTTCTCTTGGCACAGTGTGTGATGGGAGAGTCTACGGATTTCTTAGTTCTCTGCCAAATCCTCCTCAGAATTTTCCACTTCAGAGACACTTAGGCAAACACCACAACGTATTATTCAGTGTTATTGTGTTTATTTCATGTCCTTACCCCGCACAGTTCTGGGCTTTTTTAGCCCACAATTCATTCCAAATCTCAGTAACCCTGGTTCTTTTTTCTTCAAAACTATTCACTTGAGGTTTCATTGCCTTTAATCTGGTACTTGGGACAACATTGTGGTTGAGCATTTAAATTCTGATTGTAATTTCAACTCATTTTCAAGCTTTGCATGTTGAGGGCAATTTGAGAGAGAAATCTTATAATACAGGACTTCTAAGTAAACCTTTTAGCCCTGGGTCATTCTTTTATTTGCCCATTTATTAATTCATTTAATAAACTATTGTCATGTGCTTGTTTGCTATACCCGAGGCATTGTGCCTAAGCCCTGGAGATAAAGAAAAAGGCAAACACATTAAAAATGATGATTAACCTGATAAGTACTTTAATGGAGGTCAAATCAGAGTGCTTTTTTGGAGCCTATAGAAAAGTGGATCAAGCCCAGAAAGGAAGGGCTGGGGAAAAGTGTCAGCTCAGGCACTTGGAACAAGCCAGAGTGTTCTTAACATTAGCAACGTGCAAAGAAATGGGCTATGGAAATACCAGTTACTAATTCTAAAGAACAACAAAATACATCTCTCAGCCATTGGTTGCTTCGTTTTATCTTAATTTGTAAGGTTGTCTTTTTTACCTTTCAGTGACTCCTGAAACAGTTCCAAGGACCACTAAACCCACTATGTCTAGTGCATTAGATGTTTCAGAAACAACACTGGGTAATTCTAAAAACTTTTTTTCTTTAAAAAAAAAAAGCAACAACCAAAACAATCCCTACCCTCATAGAGAAGTAATCCTGATGCCTCAGTTTCTCTCTCCCCTCCCTCCCCATCCCTTCTCGTTTTTTTCTTCCTTCCTGACAGTAGTTAACCTTCCTATTTCTTGGACCAGTTCCACTGAAGAGTTAACAACATGCCTGATCCTGGTGACTGATCTACTAGGCAGATCTGGATTCTAGATGCTAACTACACGCCCTTTTGAACCAGCCTCTTGGGTTGTGTAGATAGAATACCAGCCTTCTATCTTCCAGATCTTGGGAGGGTGGGGAAAACCTGGAAGTCTTGACTCTGTGCTCTCTGCTTAGATTGGCTTTTGGAAGTCTTGCGCATACTAAATTTGGGGAGAATCCTCCCAAAATGTCACGCTTTTAAATAAGAACCCTGTGTCATTCACGTTAGCTGCTTCTTGGCCCAAGACCATCTAACTTGCTTTGTTGTTCTCTACCCTCGAAGAAAAGGAACGGCATGTGTTTTGTCCTGTTTCGATGTTGATCTTCCCTGTCATACTCTTTGAATGGATACCTTCAAATTTTAACAGCTATGTAACTTTTCCAGGGAATGCCAGTTGTTTCCATGATAGGCATCTGCGACTCAATGCACACGAGTCTCTGTTTTGAAGCATGCTATGCATGATCATGGTTAAGCTACAACATCAGATCCTGAGTCAAAGAGTTGCTAACCACACTCTTCTTTATCATAGTTCCAAGCGAAAGGACCCTGGAAACATCACGAACTTTTCTAATACCTCAGTTTGAATTGCTACTGAGTACTCTAGGTAAACATTGTTAAACAGTGTAGCTTTATTATTATGTGGAAATTTCATGCATGCTTCAAAGAAGTCCTTAGGCTAATGCATTCAAAGTCATCTCCTAGAAGAAAAGGAACAAATGGCTTCTAGAACAATAAGTTCTCCAACACATAAGCCCATATATGTCATACGGTCAGTTTAGGGTCCTAAAGAGGCTTAGATATGACAAATCTTTTGGTGGTTTTTCTTTTCAGGGATCATATTTTGATATATTGGATTCTTTTCATTCAAGATCATTATGTTACCAAACACATTGATATTTTCTGTATTTTTTCCTAAATGCTACTGAATTGTCTCTCTTGACAGAGAACATGTTTTTATGATATATCTGTATATTGCTTCTTAGAATCTTAAAATTTCTTTTTTATGATTGCAGTATCAAAAAACGGGGAGGAGCTTATATATAAAGCCATGTAGTTACCAAAATTCTATTTTAAAAATTGAATTTTTAAAAAATGAGCTTCTAGTTCCACAAAGTATTAGATGGACATTTTCTTGTTCAGATGTGTTTGGTGCTGGGCTTGAGTTTAAATGAAATGCATCTAAGAACACACATAAGCATAGCTGAAGAAATCAGGAAACTAGTTTAACAAAAATAGAAAGAATGCAAATATAGTATCTTAAATTTCATGACTTAATTACAAATTATCAAAAGAGAAACTTTATTATGTTACCCAGCGCTGAAACTAGAAGTACAAAATACTACTAATGATCTCTTTCTTAACATGAAATAATTTGTCTTTTTGTGTTTGTGTTTTGGTTTTACAAGCTTGAGATTTTTAAAATCTTTTCTCTGTTACTTGCATCTCAGGTCATAACTTTCCTTGTGTGTTTCATTACAGCTCCAAAAAGGCTTCCAGAATTTCCTGATGCAAAAACACCCTTCCCTTTTGAGAAGCCTGAGGGCACCTTGGGTAATGAGTTCCCTAAATTTGATGTTAAGAATGTGGGTGGCGATTGCTTAATTCTGGAGGACACATTTACTGTGTCCTGTCTCTGCAAACCTCAATGAACTGATGTGAATTATTAAGTCAGGCGAACAAGCAATTGATATTTTCTTTTAGAGGGACCTGGCTCTAAAAGAAAAAAAGGTGTTGTGGCTTACACCTGTAATCCCAGCACTTTGGAAGGCCAAGGCGGGAGGATGGCTTGAGTCCAAGAGTTTGAAACCGGCCTGGGCAACATAGTGAGGACTTTTCTCTCTATAAATTTTTTTAGGGGACCTATTTGATTGGATTTTCTACAAATTCAATAATAGCCATCCTCCTCTTAATTCCACGTAATCCGTTTAGTTCGTTTTCTGTCCTTAAAAATGTTGACAGTTCTGTCCTTTAAAATGTTGAGAGACCTAACTCTGGTTTCTCATTGAGCACTAGTCAAATGCTCTCTGGATGGGTACAAATTGATTTTTTCCTAATATACTGACTTTTGATTGTATCAGTATGTGCTTTTTATTGCAGGCTTCTGGTAGCCACTTAACCATACCAGCAACCTATTTCTGTCCCTTTTTTCTCTTAAAAAAAAAAAAAGTTCAGTAAATTCCATTTATTTTCAATATAGCTTCTCCAAGTGAAAAGCCATGGATTATGCCTACAGCTAAAACAGCTGAAGATTCCAAAATTCTGCTGCCTCAAACTGGTAATTGCATTCTTTTTAAAAATAAATTGTAACAAGAGTATTGAGAGTAACATCTTGTTTTTATTTTTATAGGTTTCTTACTCGTTATATACTTTGTAGTAAATGGAAAACCTCTAATACATCTTTGATATTTAGAAGAATATTATTTTTCCTACCACAAAAGCAAAATGGTTTTGCATTTGTTTTAAAGGTATACGTTTTAATTATGGTTGTATACCTAGAAGTCTGGTTAGAGCATCAACTAGGATTATGTTGTTGATTTGCTAGAGATCTCTTTAGTGACTTGAAAGCAGTAACAAAAAATAAGCAGCATTATCATGGGTCTGATTTAATGGTATGAGCTGCTTGTTTCCCCTGCAGGTAGATATTAGGTTCTTTTGGGGCAAAGTAATTCAATAAACATTTGAGAGTTTACTATGTGCAAGATATTATACTAAGTCCTAACATTTGTAAGTATCTCATGATATAGGGGAAAGACCACGGGCTTTGGAGTCAATAACAGCCCTTGGCTGCAGTCCTGGCTCTCCTACTAACCACATAATGGCTATTTTTCTCTACTTTTCTGGACCTTCGTTTCCTCTTTTGTAAATATGGCCATTGGCTTTTTTTTTTCTCTCTCTCTCTTGAGATTGTGTTCCACCACTAAGACTGGTTGAGATTTTTTTTTAATAGATTTTTCTCAATTACAAATTTTCTCCTGAATTTCTTTTCTTTGGTGCCTACTAGTCAACTAAGGAAAAGTGTGTTCAGCATATTAAAATTATAAGCAAACCTCTAAAACTGTTCTTGGATGATTACTTCCATGATTTTATTTGTTTGTATTTTAATTTTTGTAAACCTACTAGTTGTTGTGACTTTAAAATTTGGGGCACATATCATATAGTACATAATGTAGTTAGATGTTCAACGTAGTAAAGTTAAACATACCAACATTTGGTGGTATTCTACAGAGAAAGTCCAGAAGAGGACCTGGGTTTGAGAAAGGGTGAGAATGAGCCACAGACAAGTAGTTCTTAGTCAAATTATCCTTTCTCGGAAATGTAATGGGCTCAAATCTCAGCAAAAGAGAGATCATATCAAATTAAGTGTGAATGTCTATTTTACTCTCCCCTACCTTCCTCAAGTGGTAATGCACTTGAAAGTTGGCAGCTTATCCAGAGAAGCCTCACATTGGTGTCCCTAATCACTGACCCTAAAGTTCTAGTGCAGTTAACTGTGAAAACTCCTTTAGCAATTCAGATCACCTGGATTTAAAATCTGGGTCCTGGGGAGAGTTTCATACTGAGCTTCTAGTTCCATTAGCAATCACACAGGCACAGCTGTGTTGTAATTATGAAATAATAAGTAGCCTGGGGGCATACATGATGGTTTACCAGATGCACTACAGCAGGCCTGGCTGTAATTCACACATCCCTCGGGAGCACCCAAAACCAAATGTTTTAGAGGATTTGGGGACTAGATAAACTTTTAGGTCTTCTTCATCTCTTAGATTTGGGGTATAACAGAGGACACGGGGCTCCCCTCCTGGTTTCCCTGAAGCAGCATCTGACTTTGGGTTTCTATTCAAAGGGATTATTCAAGAGCAAACTGACCAAAATCTCAAGGAAACCACTTTTCAAACTTTAATTCCCAGGATATGAATTGTATATAAAGTCTAAGCTGAACCAGATATCAGGGAGTGTGGGGAGTATGTTAGGGAGTAAAGGTTGCAGGAGTTACAACGAGAGAAAAATAGATGATATGGGAAATCCCAATCAAGGAAAGAGTCCTTTTGCCTTTAATCCCAGAGAAGGAATATTCTGGTCTTGGCCTGACTGAGTATGAATAGTGGGGACTGCAGCAGGAAGCAGACTCCTTATTTAGCTGTGTCACTACTCAGGACAACCTTAGGTTGCCAGAGAACGTGAACATTCCCCTGAGAACTCCTGACCCTCTCTTGTCAATTTGTTGGGACTTGTCATGAACTGCAACAACAGTTCAGCAGGTGATGGTTGCAGGCATGAACGTTAGCCCTAGAAACTTCCCAGCCTGCCTTATAGCATTTAATGTTTGATCCCTGCTGCTTACTATGATCATTGGAGCAGCAGCGTTGGCATCACCTGGGAACTTTTTGGAATGGCAGAATCTGGGCTCCACTCTAGACCTTCAGGACCAAGATCTGCTTCCCAACAAGATCCCAGGTGATTGGCGTGTACAGCTAAGAATCATCAGGTGTGGTCACTTATAGAACAGTGGGCCTCAAATCAATATGATTGCCTTTTCAAATGGATGATTAAGTAGTTCTTGTTCTGCTAATGTGTAATGCTTCATCTACACTGTAGTGTGTGTTCTGTGGCATCTTCCTAACTTACATTAAATTTCTAATTAAAATTTAATAACATGCATTATTTGTGATTTAAAGAATTGCATGGTTATGTAATTCTTCCATTCATTTCAACCTTTGTTTCTTTTCATTGATTTTGTGCAAATTGATACATGTACTAAGGTTCTCTCATAAGTTTCAACATATGTAAGTATTTATTTTATCTTCCAATTACCTTCCTGATGCAAGTGTTTTGAGAATTCAGAAGAGACAAGCAGAGACAGTCCTAAAGTATATTTTAGCAGGTATTAATGACAATATTATAGCAAACAGAGAACACTTTATTTTCTCTGTTGGGATATGATGTACCTCCACTTACTATGTTAATTCAAGGATCAGAAGAACACACTTGTAGCTGAACAAAGATTTATTTACTTATTATGATAATGGAGAACACAATTAGTAACTGAGGGATCTCTCAGAGGATGTTAAAACAGACAGTGTAGGATTTTGTCTTGTGTTAAGTGATCAGGAAAGGGTCCAGGGAGGTGAAGCTTTTTCCTAGATTAGATGCAATCAGAAAGTAGAAGTAATTCTGTGACTGAATGTCTTCATAATTCTTAACCAGAAGGCAAGACCAGCGGAGTGAACCCAAGCTGGGGTTGGTAAACAAGCAGCTCTTATTCATACGAGCCAATATGTGGGGAGGGTTGATGTTTGTGGTTTGGATGAGGTTCGTGTTTGTGTCCATGCCGCACGTGATAGCAGATTGGTCTTGTTTTTGTCTCGATTCCTTGTGATCACAGAGTGGTCTTGTCTGATATTTGTATTGTTTGGAATTCGTTGACATTTAGCAGGTTAACACCACAGCATACCTGTGGGTGCCGGACCAGCTCCTGGATGCCAGGGACTGCTCTTTTCTCTACTGACCACTAAGCATGATTCATCATTACCTTTTGTTAAATTTATTCAGCTTTGGCATTGCTGGATTTGTTTTCTATTAAAAAAGAAATCAGAATGCATAGAATTTATAGTCTCAAAAAGATTTCTTTACCACTTTTGGATATAAAAGCTACATGCAAATTCTAACTGGCATGCTGGATATTGAAATCCCTGGGTCATTTTAATTGTTTTTGGCAGCAGTGGGATAGGATATCTGGAATTTGGAATATCCCAGGAAATCTAAGATGTGTAGTCATCAAATATAATCTTCCCGTTTTCAGTCTGTTTGCCCTCATCTTTCATTAGTGCTGCATTTTGTGATTTCGTTATTTGGAATTTCATTTTGTACCAAACCTTCTATAAAGTATGTTTAAACAGAGTTGATTGAGTTTGATTTCCTTGGCAAATATAATTTTCCTTAAAATGTATAAAAGGAGTCATAAAAAATAGGCTCGATAATTACATACCAGAATGTAAAATTATTTCTATGTTTTATATTAAAAAGAAGTTGATCACACTAGAAATACTTAAGTGCTTGTGAAAATCTTTCAGGAAAAGTCAGCCTTTCGTATGATACAATTGAATTGGTTTTATGTTCTGTTGGAAGGTGGCCACTTAACTATGATCTCAGTGTTATTATAAAGTGACTTCTAGAAAAACTCTCAATACCTTCCACCCCCAGAGGAACTGTGCATTCGCATGCATGTGAACGTGTTTGTTGGATCATTTCTCTACTGGAATAACATAATTTGGTTTTAAATGGCAGTTTTATTCTAGGAGATTCAAAGAGCTATGTGTATACCATCATACTTATCCCTCCAAAGTCCCTAAAATCCGATAGAGTCATTTTCTTTTATTTTGAGGTGATATAAGAGAGACAAATCCAGATGAGTAGAGGAGCAAAAATTAGACTCATTCATTTCTTTCCTAATCTTTTCAATAAACCACTTCAAGTTAAAAAATAAAAGTAAGTGAAATAATGTCATATAGCTTGTTTTGAAAAGCTGAAAACAGCTTTCATAGCAAACAGAGTTAAACGTTCTTACTGGGGCCATGTGTCTTCCAGATATACTGTATGACAGACATCGTGTGATCTGTGAGAGGCTGGCCAGTCTCTGAAGTTTATTTTCACTGTGAATGTAATCACTCGTCTGTGAGCTATAGGGTGAGACAGAGTGGGGTTAATAACCAGCTCAGCTATTTTTCAGTTAGATAATTTGTTCAAAGTTATTTAACCTCCCGGAACTTCAGTTTCTCCATTTGTAAAATGGAAATAATGTATAATTTTTTCATTGAGTTGTTATGTCTTAGAAATCATATATAAATCATTGAACATAATGCACAGCACATAGGGATGCCTTATTTTCTTAGTACAATGAAATGTAGTGATTCCCTTACACCATACTGCCCATCCCAAACTTCCTGAATTGCTGTATACAGTCAGCATAATGATAACAATTATGTTATTTAATAAAAGAAAAAAGGAACAAATTTAAAAAACATATATAGTCTGTATCAAAAAAATCAGAATGCATGGTCTCAAAAAGATTTCTGTACCACTTTTGTATATAAAAAAGACTGTATGAAAATTCTAACTGACATATATATACATAATCATACCCAGTGATGTGTGGGTCTTTACTTGTATGAAAATGTTTGAGAATGGAAAAGAGACGTGTACAGTGTTACTCACAGAGGTCTTGCAGCCTCTAGGGGATAGCCTGATGTACTTACTAACCCCCTGGCAGGGTTGATAAATCATATCACGTCGTCTCTCTATTCAGTTACAGTGGCAGCCTGAGTCACTCTATAAACTAAGCTCTGTGATACTGCCTAGGCTCAGTGAGCAAAATGGTGCCACAATCAACTTCTTGTATTTTACGTGGGTACCAAGGGAGGGAGAAGCAGCATAAATGACATGTATTTATCATTCCACCAATAACACATGTGCCAAAGACCTTATATGGTTTGGGGGGATGGAAATGAGCTTCTTGTTACTAGCTTGACAATGCCATCAGTGTTTAGCCTTCTTAATTTACTTGACCATCCCCCTTAAAAGGCCATCATTTAGTACTAGGATGGTTTCAAAAGCAAATGAAGAAAATGCGCACAAACCTAGGTTGAGTTGATGTGTTTGTTTTCACCCTTAGAAAATCCTCCTGCCTGTTCTTCCCCCAAAGTGTCCAGACAGACCAGATTTTCCTCCAAATTTACTGTGTCCTATGACTAAGATGACTACTTCCTCTGGCATAATTATTTCCCCTTGAACCATGAACAGTTATCTCGTAGGGACCTCCCTTGATAGAGCATCAGAACAGAGGAGTGTCAGCCTCAGTCTTTTCATTAGAATCCACATTGAGGGCTTCTTACAGGAGGTTATCACTAATTATTTTCAGTGTTAAATTCCTTCAGTATTCTGCAGAACTGTGGTGAATTTCAATTTGTACTTAAGCTCTACAAACTGTTTAAAGGCTTGAAAGCGAAAGTAATCCACAAGCACAAGAAATGGTATATTGTCTGGAAAGTTTTGGCAGCAGGTGGCTTGCTCGGAGTGGTTGAAAAGAAGTAAACTCTACATTTGGACCATATTGCCTGCCCTGTGAGGTGTTGATTAGCACAGATCTGGCCCACCCAGCTGAATTAAGCCCTAGAGAGGAGAAAAAGGAGAAATGAGTGGTGGTGTTGAGGAGGTAAATAGACTTCAAGCATAGCAGATGGTTTACAGATTCGCTGTGTAGCCTCTAAGATTACAGATTCGCTGTGTAGCCTCGGCCTTTCATTTTATTTCATGAACATTTTCTCTCAGGCGACATTTTCCCAAATTTCAAGACCAACTAGAAAGGTATTCTGTTTTTCCATTGACTGAAGAAACATTATCAATGTATTTAAATGATGCTGAGAACTCTGTGTGTAGTGTTGTGTTTTTCTTTTCTACTTATCATTGTATGTTTTCATTGCTTCTTCATAGATGTTTTTAGAATTCTATTTCCATGGCAGGGTATGGCCATACAAGCATATGGCAGTTATTTGGGTAATAAAGATTTGTGCATACATGTGTATCATAAAATAATTAAAAGGACATGTTCATTTATTCCATAAGCTATAAAGTTATGAGCTTAAACTATGCAACTGTAAAACTTACTGTTGTTTGTTCATTGTGGTGGACATCTAGCAGATTAATTCTGTTGAGTGTCCACCATGTACCAGGATCTGGAGTAAATAAACCTTGAAGTATACAATGAGCATGACAGACACAATTTCTGCATGAATGAGGCCTTTTGTCTAAGAATGTTTAGGTTTAAAAAGGAAGTTTTCACATGGTTATTGATATTCAGGAAATTTGATTAAAAGAAAATGATGAAGTCTTGACCATCTGCATTGTTTTGTGTGCCACACATTTCCAGAACAATGTCAGGGCACTCTTATGGTATCCTTTTCATCTAGTAAGTTTTTTCAAAGTAAAAATAAGATGTACAATCAATAATTGAACAAAGTGGTTTTAGGAAGTTATAGAGCAAATGTAGTGCAAGTTATTTCATATTTTCTCTGAAAAATCTGAAGGTAAACATTATGACTGTATGTCATTACTCTATTTTTAAAGAAACTAACATTGTTTTATATAACCTTTGAATTGAATGATCTATTTTGATTGTTGCATTAGATTCAACCTATGACTTTTGGTCCCATGTATGTGCTTGAATGCAAGATCAGAGATAACTGCTTCATGTCCAATAGCTGGAGCATTTCATCTGCTCAAATAAATTTAGGTGATAGAAGATGTTTGCCTCATATGATAATGTGTAGGCTGTCTGAAAAAAAAAAGAAGGATTCACCCCTCCTGGTACAAATTACTTATCAATTTTATAGCTAGAGTATCCTTTTAGAAACCAGGTTTAACTGTTTCATGGATTTCACTTGGATATAGACATGCATATCCAAGGATCTTTTTAAAGAAATCAAGAGCTGCTGATTTTAGAGAGCTTTTCAAAGAAATCCGTGTCAACACTGTCTTCACCCCCCAATATCTCTTACTTCTGAGTCAAAAAAATCTCCTTTAACTCAAGAATTAAATGAGGAAGTAGTATGTTTCTCAAAACTGCCCAAACAACATAAAACTTTGAGTGATATTTGTGGGGTTTTGATACTCTTTCTTTTCAACTCCCAGAAACTACAGAAAGAGAAATAGCAAAAATCAAAACTGCTGATAAATGAGTCCTTTTACTCTGAAGTACGTTTGATAAAATGTTTGAAGGTTAAAAGATCCCTGGCAATTGGGAACTTCAGACATGACACACAAAGTTTTCAGGGAATGCTGGAAGGAGGGCATCTTTCTCCAGGAAATGCCTTTAGAGAAGATGGCAGCTTGACTTGTACTCTCCAGTATGAAAGAGAATTGTAACCATGAAAAATAAGTAGAAAGAGTTGAATAAATATATCTCTCGGAACAAAAATACAGAACATAGGAAAATTGGTCTAATGTCACTAGATGGAAGGGAGATTTGGGAGTTAGGATGACATAATGACAGTCATAGCATTTTTCACAAGCAACAATATAAATAAAAATCAAGTTATTAATTCATAATTTTTTACCTAGTGTGAGAGGGTTAATACAAGTTGGCAAAGTTTTCCTTATTTTGTAATAGATAGGACTGACCTTGCTAGACTCATGACTTGAATTTGGCTTACAGATCAGAAATTGCTGGCACTTTTGACTAATCTTTAAAAGATTAGTCATTCTTATCTGACCCTTTAAAATTGCAGCAAGGCTGAAGAAAACATCGTATTACAATGTAATCGATGTGTTCTCAGAATGTATGCATATTTTAACTCACAATATCCTTCCTATTTTGTAGATTTTTAAATCTACCTTCACAAATTGCAATGTACTTCCCACCTCTTTAGTCTGTGGTACCATATAAAATGCTTTCAACTCTGAGCACATGTCACATGGTCTGATATTGTCTTCCGTAAAGCCTCAACTTGCAATGGTTCAAAATCATTCAACTGCCACTGAATTATAAGTAACCCAGTGAATAACTCTTTATATGAGCTCACACTTTTTAATTTGATTTCTGTACTGCCATTTTGAATGGGCAATAAAAACAGCATCTACCTTATAACAATCTATGCTTTCTCTGTGCCTCTCATGACCATGGTAACAGCTCTTTGTATGTAAGAGAGAAATTTTTTTCCCTTATTTTAATAGCTTTAGGGGGTACAAATTTTTTTTTGATTACATGGTTGCATTGTATAATGCTGAAAAAGTCCGGGTTTTAAGTGTACGCACCTGTGCACATTGTACCCGATGAGTGATTTTCCATTCTTCCACCCCTTCCATCTTATGAGTCTCCAGTGTCCATCATGCCATTCGCTTTGCCTTTGCAGATCCTTGGTTTAGCTCCCACTTATATAAGTAAGAACATGTGGAGTTTGGTTTTCTGTTCCTGCATTAGTTCACTTAGGACGATGTCCTCCAATTCCATCCAAGTTGCAAAAGACATTATTTCATTCTTTTTGATGGCTGAATAGTATTCCATGGTGTATATATACCACATTTTCATTATCTACTCATCAGATGATGAGCATTTAGGTTGATTCCACATCTTTGCAATGGTGAATTGTGCTGCAATGAATATGCAGGTGCAGGTGTCTTTTTTGTATAACAACCTCTAGAGAACTTTTTTTTATGTTATTTTTGCTTGCAGGTTCAGCTCTTATGTGAATATGAAACTTATCCCTGTATTAAAATCATTCAATTTTTATGTTTAAACTCATTCACATCGAATAGAAAATTTATATTAAAATCCACCTAGGCTCTAGAAGGGCTCATGGCTCCACGAAGGAATATAGAAAAAAGCTGCCTCCAGGTAAAATGTCAAGAGGGAAGGTGCCAAAAGTGAGTCCTGGTCTTAGCCCTGCTGTTCCTGGTCCTACTGATAAAGCGGAAAATACATCAGACTTTGCAATTCCAGTGTGTGACCACTGACAAATGTTTTCATTGCTATAAACCTCAACTTTACTATCTAGAAAATGGACATAACACCCCATTATCTATTTTAAAAAAGGGACAATGCCTACCTCACCTATTTCTCAGGGATAAGAGAATAGTAAATAAAGCTGATATATGAGAAAGTATTGTGCAAACTAAGTGGGATCCAAATATAAGGTAGCGTAGCTTTTACGAAACAGAAAGCCCAAGCAGTAGACTTTGGGCAAATAGCCTCAATGTGACTGATGTTTCCTTCTTTAGAAATCTCTCCTCAAACTGCCATCTGACTTTATTTATGTTTATGTTCTTTGAAGCCCTTTGATTTAGAACTGGCACCACTTCATTACAAATATATAGCACTATGTTACATCACCCTGGAGGCCAGCCTCAGGGCTCACTATTTAAAATCCTGCAATTAAGAGCAAGAAGGACCAAAGGCAGGTCTAGGTGATTGCTTACACATTAGTGACAGGGCCAGCAACCCAGAGCCAAAACCCACTAGCACCCACATAAAACTGTCCTTCAGCCAGCCTTACAACGTGTCATGACATCTTTCAAAATGAATCAGAATTAACATCTCTTTTGTTTTACCCTTTTTTTTTTTAAAGCAACTTATGATGTTTTCTCAAGCCCTCCAACATCCGATGAGCCTGAAATATCAGAGTCCTACACAGGTATACCCAGCCTCTCAATTCTGTCTTTGGACCTCAGGTGTTGGGACAACACTTGGTAGTTCTCCAAGTGTTGTGGGGGAGAAATTGCTATCTGTGTCTGTGACATGAGTTCTACCCACTCCCCCCATGGCGTGATTTGTTCTTTACATCCATCAGGAAATAAGCTTTGTCACACATGAGGGAGAGGCAGATAGATTTTGTTGCCACCAAGAAAAAGTAATGCAATGGCCTATCCCTCTCTTATTTAGAATCATTGTAGAAAGTTCTTAGAATTTGAGGGTTTTCTTTAGAGCAATGGTTCTCAAATGGGGATAATTTTGCCCCCACCCCAGGATATTTGGTAGTGACTAGAGACTTTTTGGTTGTCACAAGTGGGGGAGGTCCTCCTAGCATCTAGTGGATAGAGATCAGGGTATAAGCTAAGTTCTACAGTATACAGGACAGCTTCCCACAACACAGAGGTGTTTGATCCTAAACATTAATAGTGCTAAGATGAGAAATCCTAGAATAATCACATCATTCCTTTGTCTATAGACGTTCAATTGAGTCTAATTGTTGGCAATCTCTTACTGATCCACCTGTAGTGAGTGACCTGAGTCCAACAGTTCTTTTTAGTATGTGTTTTTTTAAGCACCTACTTAACTGGTACTATAGGGGATTAGAAAGGAGTAAGACTGGTCTCTATCAGACATACATATATGTCCAGTTTTTTATATATGTAGCATTTGTATCATGATAAAGGAGAACAATTTTAAATAGTGATGGAAAATTTAAAAATGAAATAGAGTGCTAAGAGTAGATTGTTAGCAATGATGAAACAGAAGGAAAAAACCCAGAAAAGTCAGTTGAAAATATGTTGAGTGACTGAAATACTATTTGATCATGGTTTCTAATATTTAATATATGAAACATTATTAAATCATGGACTCTAATATTTACAGTACATATATTTTTTTAAAGTGAGCTCTTCTGCAACTCCTAATGTATCGCTAATTTTAAAATGCTGGTCAGTAATGCTCCAGTGTCTTTGATATTTTTTCAAGTCTTAGTTTATGACTTGAATTTGTATTTTATTCCTGGGGCCCTCTACTGCTTTTATAAATGTTGACGTTTATTCCAACAGCAACAAGTGAGCCTATTCTGGATTCTGTCCCACCTAAAACTTCTAGAACTCTTGAACAGCCAAGGGCAACACTGGGTAATGTTTTTCGCAGAAAAATAATACTTTTTTTCCATCAAAAAAAATCCATGTGAATGCCTTTCTTCCAAGTGATCATTTCATTCCATCACATCTAATCATTTCTCTTTCCTATTTCTTAATATATATGTATTTTAGATTCCCTCTCCATTTTAGATTCCCTCTCTATTTTTTTGAACTGTAGTAGATGATATTTTCTCCATCCTTGTAGTTGCAAAACCTTTGGGAACTGCATGGACACCATCATCACCATTTCACATGTCTGTGACCTGTCACCTTACTTCCATGCATCAAGTCTGCCTGGAGCCAGCTACTTAACTATTGTCATTCTAGCCTTTTTCCTACTTTAAATTATCATTTCATTCACCAGCTTTCAAGACTACATGCATTTTCCATTCTTAATCGTGTAGCATGTGCTTGTACCATCTAAAAGCATGTTAAAATTCTTAAACTACCTCATTTTAACTGGGATTATTTTGTGGGATGGGGTGTTTGTGCTTTCAGCTTCAAGTGAAACACCATTTGTTCCTCGGAAACTGGAAATCTTTACAAGTCCTGAAGTGCAACCTACAACACTGGGTAACTCATGACATTTGTGTAGTTGTGTGCATTGAAGAAGCAGGTAATGGCAAAAAAGAGTCAATCATGTTGAGTAATTTTCAGTAATAAATATTTCCCTTGGGCTCTTTTAGCCTTATGATAGACCTCAAAGAATATCCTGATGTCTATATATTTTTGAAGAATTATTTCCTTCCTATACTTCTATTAACTTTACCAACCAGGAAATATCAGCAGAATTATAGTTGATAATTATTTTAAAATATCCTCCCTTTTATGTAACACTGTTAGATATTGGTCAGAGTATTTCGCCCAAAGTAGTCTCAGTACAGAGAACACCAATAGGCTCTCCAGTCCTACACATAATGAAGGAAGATGGGTACACCTACATTTAATAATAGAAAATTATTGAAATTACAACGTTCATTAACTCTTGGAGAGGTTGGTAATGACCCACAAAATTCAAGAAGTTCTGAACTTTCCATTCTCTAAGTCCCAAATATGCCATTTGGGCTTCTCCTTGCTATTCAATGTCATCCTTTTGAGTTCTTAACTGTACCCATACCCTGTATTCTGAAATGCCTCAGGGGTGCTCACTTTCCAGTATGTTTAATCAAACAATGTATCTTCATTTCTCATGTAGAAATGTAATACCTTTGGTCCCAGTTAACCATGATTTATTGAGCACCTATGATGTGTAAAGCATGGTGCTGGGCATTTTAGTGATACAAAGAAATATAAAGCTGTTCTTGCACTAGAGAAGTTTACAGGTTTATGGGCACAATCTGGCTAATCCTTAAGAAATATTATTTGTCAAAGGTGTCTTAAATCTTCTTCTTCCAGCTCCCCAGCAAACTACATCTATCCCTTCTGCACCTAAACGACGCCCCAAGCCCAAACCGCCAAGAACCAAACCTGGTAAAGAAATGTCTCTTTCACTTCACACAGTATTTAATTCCAAGCAGATCATGTCCATCTCCTTATCATAAAAAGAGGGGTTATGATTCTATAGGTTAGTTTCTTTACAAAATTTGAAATTAACCAGTTGAGTGATTACATGCAAAATAACAAAAATCAAATGTCTCCAATAAGAGTTTACTGAAAGTACTGTGACATTTTTGCATGTGAATTTTGGTATAAATTTACAAACAAGTCCTACTGTCATAGGTTTTGTAACTAAATTATTTTTATAGTTTTAGTATAGTGTAACTCTTTTTTTTTTGTAGTCATATGTGACTTTTTTGTAGGCTGTTCTGTTTGTCTGTTTGTTTGTTTTTGGTGCTTGCTATGTTTTCAGTTTTTCACCAGGGCAATAACTGAGATGAAAGGACATAATTCTCATTTTCAAGTTGCTTATAGTCTTGAGAAGATGACATAACTATGAGAGCGCCACATAAGATTATGTAACTTATTTCTGAGACTATAATATTTGTGTAAAAGCTCTGAGAAAGAAAATAAGAATTGAAGATGCAGGCCTCAAATTATATGTAGGATTTGGACAGAGGAAAAAGAGAGAGAGGGTAGCAACATATATGACAGAAGAGAGTTTGGGTGTTACTGGTAGCTGATCAGTCTAGAAGTGATATTCTTCATTGTGAAATAATAGACGCAGAATCATACTCAACAAACAGGGCTTTGCTTATTCCACTGTAATATAAATACAATATTGTATGACCTATACTGTGATGACAGTTTAAAAATTCTTTCCCTGAACTTGTACTCATTATATACTTTAACACTGACTACTAAATATAGGATTTTAAAGAGATCATTCAGTTCCCCTTTAGAAGATATCTTTTTATTGTTTCCAGGATACCTCAATATTTTTTTCCTTTCCATCACCAGAAAGAACTACAAGTGCTGGAACTTTTACATCTAAAATTTCTAAAAGCCCTGAACCTACACGGACAACGCTGGGTAATAATCATATGTCCTTAGTAGATCCTTTCACCATGGTGAATCCAGTACCCCTGCTTTTATGCAGTGTCTCAATGGCTGTTCAAAATGGTTTGTTTGGACAGTACGTACTATCCCACAGAGCACATCAACTCCTTGCCTGTTGTAGTTGTGGATAACTGGCCCTATAGTTAGTAGATCTGAACTCAGCATTCAGACCCCTTCTTGTGCCAACTGTTGAACCACAGCTGCATCCTTCTATCCAGTCATTGTGTTTGAAGTTGAATCTTGTATGTAGTTCTCCATTGTTTTTTAATTTTGGATTCAGGGGCTATATACGCATGTTTGTTCCATGAGTATGTTGCATGATAGCAAAATACAGGCTTCTATTAAAAACCTGTCACCTAGATAATGAGTATGGTACCCAAGATGCCCTCAGGTTCAACTTGCGGCTTCATTTGGAAAAATGACTTTTAGTTTTAATGATAGCAGAATTTCTTTACACTTCAGGTCATAGCATTATACCTATCAGTGAATGTTAATTGTCAAATATGGTGCTTTGCTTCCTGGTGCTTAAAGTCTTAGATGTGGCTGAGAAATATGAAGTAAACATGCCAAATAATTTGACTTATTTTTTTAAATCATGGGTTAAAATAGCTGTATTTTCTTTGAGTAGCTATTGTGACTATTTAATAGCATAGTTATATGTGTTTGATTAAATATACTCTTGAAATGTGTTTCCAAATCAGGTGAAAATTTATTCTTGTGTTTCCATTGACTACTTCTCTATGGATAGATCATGAAATATTATTTTAATGGAATAGTTCCAAGATGATGCATTCATTCTGCTTGATGTATAGTTTATTTTTAGGTTTTCTTTTTGTGGTTTTAGACTGAAATGCCTAAATATCTATTTGATTTGTTGATTATTTTGCTTCTTTATTTTTCCAGCTCCCAGTAAAACACAATTTATATCTTTGAAACCTAAAATCCCTCTCAGCCCAGAAGTGACACACACCAAACCTGGTAATTAGTCTAAACTTTTTTTTTTCAATATTCCAAAATTAGGATTGAGAAATTGTTTTATGCAACTCTTTGGAGCAAGAGTTTCTGATTTGTATTTTTGACATTTGTTATATTTTTCCATGGAAAATGCAAACATGCGGTAAAATGATCTCATTATAAACAGCCACTGTGATATTATCATAGTATTGCTCTGAGCTGTGTGATGGACTATTATGTTCATGACCATTGCAGAGAAAGCACAGAACTGTAATGATCTGAGTAATTGAGGCCTCCCTTGTCTAGGACTACAAAATAGTTTCCAATACCAAAGTTGACTGGAATTCTAATCACATTGAACAATAGCCTTATAGCTGGAAAGGAGAGAAGTGTTTCTACCCTCTGAGAACTCTCCCTTATTTTGGGGCTTCTCAATTCTCAGACCAGAAAGGCCTGTACTTTTTGCTGCAAGATCAAATAGGCCTGTATTTTCCTAGTGCTCCTAGGCTTCTAAAATGGTGCTGGTTTCTGAACACTGACTTCTGTTTACCCCTCAGGAGAATTTAATGGTGTTTTGCAAAAAAACAAGAAAGCTTTTACAGGAAGGGATTATTCTATATGTATAATTAAAACCAGACTATTCCTTGCTTAAGGACTGCAGAACGTATTATGACCAAATCTTTAAATTTTTTGTCCATCTACAATCTATACAGTTGTCTTAAATGTTGACATATAAGGCTGGCTATAGGGAACTTTGTTTCCACTTATTGTCATTGTCATCTAAAATTTTAAACTCTTAGCTCTGAGAAGAATAAATTCTCACTATAATGTTTAATGGGTTTTGAACTTGGATTTCCACTAATGGCATGTTTACAAAGTAGGATTATTAAAGCAAGAGATTTTCTGCTAAAGTGGGCATGATTTATTTTTGCAATGAAATGGGCAAGGAAGAAAAATGTAACGGCTCTGAGAAAGAATTCTCATTACTCCCTGAAAAGAAACAGTGAGATTTCCAGGTGTAGGTGCAGACTAAAGGAAACCTGGGGATTATACAAAGGGGGTGTAGGTGATTCTGTGACCATGGTGAGGTCTCCAAGTCAGAGAAATGGAATTAAAAACTCCCTTCAGAGAGGTTTTTTTGGAGGAAGAAGCATAGCTAATAAAGTTCAAAAGTCCTAACAGTGGTTTAAATCAAAGAATTCTGATGGTTAGCTATATGAAAGAGGGTTTAATATACATTTATTTTTCAAAAGTAATGCTTAAAGGGTTTTGGAATAAGGTAGGAACTATTATATTTATGCTGTATTTTTAATAGAGGTCTAGTACAAGGAAGAGCAAGAAATATTACTGTTTGAGTCATCAAATTTAAATAAATGTTTCACTCTAATGTCACTATTTCTGTTATCATAAGATAAAGTTGGAAAACATCAAAAAATTTCTCTGTTGGTTACAGTTTACACATAAGTTACATCATTAATTTCAGTGATTGATAAGAGGAGGTTTCTGAGAGGAAATTCATTCATTATTACAAGAAAGGGTGGGAGGGTATGTGCTTATCATTCTAAGGTGTTTACCAAAGAGACATGTGTCTTAATTTGACATTTCCTTTTAAAATGGGAAAGATTACTTGGAAGCTCATGTGTTCATATTCCTTTGATTTCTAAACCTTTTAATTTCCTAAGAAAATCCATCCCTTTTCCCCTGACAGCAAGTATAACGACTTCAGACTCCACCCTAGACCTTTGCCAGCTCAAGTTGGCCTTGAGTGGTCCAAGGCGGCATAGAGTGACGACTGGATCTCTGCAAACCATTGCTTTGGCTTTAGCTTCTTACATTTTGTTTATTTTTATTTAGGCAGGCCATCTTTAGATGTCTGCTGAAGATTCCACTTCTAGCCAAGGTTCAGAAGAGCAAATAAACCATGAAAAGCTTTTTGATTTGAGTAATTCATTGCCTTCCCTAGCCCTCTCCTCACACGCTCCAGTTTTTCCGTTTCACTTTCCATACAGGCTGTCTTCACTTCGGCTTTCTTTGGTGGTTAAGTTAATGAGTAAAACTCACATCGGTTTGGGCTTGTTTTGTAAGCACAGTTTGGTGCCTTTCCTAAAAACCATGGCCACTTACCACATCCCAACTCATCTACCTCATCCAATGAGAATTGTTTCCTTCATGGCTTAATCTTTAAGGTGGCAATGTCCTTTGACTCTTCAAGCTTCTAAGGGACTGAAAAAAAAGGGAGCTCTGAATTACAGATGTTTGTTTAATACAGTGCACTTCCATAGTGGATTGAATAGTAAATTGTTCTCAGTACTAGCCATATATCTATGAGTGAACCAAATTTGTCTTTGTTTCATGCTGAGGTGAGTAGCTTAGCCATTTCCAGATCACGCAGATTGTTATGGAACATTTTATACCTTTATCCCTAACACATTAAGACTGTCTAATAAAATAGTGTCATCCAAAGATATGGGGGGGGATAAAAAAAAACCTGGAATTTATTTATTAAAAAAATTGTGTATTTATTCTTACATATTTAAACTTCAGTCACCTTCAAAGTACTCTCTGTTTGATACAAGACAACTATGGAGACATTTTTTTCACTGCTCAAAACAGTTTTTGAACTCATCCATTTTCATGCCTTTTAGTGCTTCTGCTGTTTTTTGTTTTACCTCTCCCACGTTGGCAGAAATGTTTCCCTTTGAGGACTTTTCTCACCCCGGAAACAAACAAAAAGTCACTCAGGGTGAGATCAGGTGAATAGGGAGGGTGGGGCACAGGGGTCATGTCATTTTTGGCCCCAAACTGCTAAACACACAGCACAGTGTAGGCAGGTGCGTTGTCATGGTGTAAGAGTCATGACAATGTTTGTCACAACTCAGGACGTTTCTTCCAGAAATTTGATGCAACCTCCTCAAAACTTCCAGTTAAAAACTTAGTTGAATGTTTGATCTAGAGGAACAAATTCCAAGTGTACTAGAAGGGGCCAGTCCTCCAAAAGATAATTCCGGGTTTTGGGGGGTCCCCCCCCCATATGTAGTTGTTTTTTTACCAAACATCAACTTTGCTATTTTTAACATGCAGTTGACTTTTAATTGATGAGGTGCTATCCCTCTTCAGTCTCAGTCAGGAATGCAAAAATGCAGATTTTTTAAATAAGATTTTAAAAGCAGTGATCTTTAATCTTTGTAAAGGCTAAAATTTTTCACACTTTAGGAAGGCAAGTTTGAGTTTGTAACTTATGTTTTTGGTTTTCAAAATAATTTTTTGTTTGCTATTTTCAGGTGTGAATGCTTTTTGATATTTATTATATTCCATGAATTTTTACTTTGTTACATATACTTCAATTTGATATATCACTACTGCTTTGCTATTCATTTGTTATCTATTTCTGGACAAGTTCTTGAGAAATTGGAATTTAGTTTTTTGGTGTGTTTTTTTAAAATCTACCTTTAAACTTTGTTCTTTCACACCTAATTTGTACACTTCTATAGTCTCACACAAAGATATGTTGGCAACAAACATGCTAATGAATGATGATGCCTTTAAGTAGCACCTTGTGCTATTATGCATTGCTTTCAGAATAAATTAAGATTGTTTACCAGTAATAGATGCTAGTAAATATGGGAAGCCTATCGTATGAACACATGTGGTTCCTTTTGAACCATAAGTTTAATTCCTATCTTTTATGAAAGAATGTCAGGTTCAGCCAAGCTGAAGATCATTCCAAACTAACAGAGTGCAGACGTGGTACCAGGTCTGATGTGTCAGTTGCCTTGTCCTCGCTTCCTTGGATGAACCTGGTTGTCCTGCAAGAAACAAAATAACACGTGACCGGGCACTCAGAACAACCTGAGAGAAGTTACCCAGAAGTTAGTATTTCCTCAGCCACCAGGGACAGTCTTCATAATATTGGGTAGTGAGGACAATAGCTAAAGATTAACAGCAAAAATGAGAATTCACAACTCTTAAGGTTTTTGGCAAGAAAGTGGGTGACTGTGTTTCACTGTCATAAGCCAGTAGAACCTAATCATTCTCCAAGGAGAGACACTGTTTATGGCAAAGAATACTTCATTTCTGTCTTACATGATGTTCTTCAGTCTTGCATTTGATATTACTTGCTTTTATTGCAGCCCCAGAACCTCAGACTCTGCTGCCATCACAGTCAACAATAGGTAATGAGCTTTCTTTAATGAGTGAATATATGTGTATATATATATATATATATATATATATATATATATATTTCTTTAACACCTTCGATGTTCAACTTTATCCTGAGCTTTGGGTTATTTTTTTAAATCTCATAATTGTCCTTCAGATCTTTTTCCAGCCATTTTTGCCAGAAGATCTACTTCTGTCTGTGCTTGATGAAGCAGAGACTCTGAGACAGCCATGGAAACCATACTGTGATGTGTCACATTCTTCATTATCCCTCTTTATATTTGAAGACAATGCCCTGAGCTTGTTCTGACCTGGTTATTGTCCGTAGAGGACTCTGGCTTCCCTAGGACATACTTGTGCTTTGACTTTTAGAGGGTTGTTCTTACTTTCAAAATTCTAACATTTGCAGATTTTCTTGAAAAGCATTATGGTCTTTCCAAATCTAAATACCCTGTAATAGGAAATCCATTCAAAGAGAGAAATAGGAAAAACAACTCCCATCTTTATAGCTTCTTTTTCTTCAAAAGAGAAAAAAAAAAGTGTTCTGGTGCCATGTTAGCCAGTTACCCAAATTTTCCTTCATAGCATGAACTGCCGGTTACTTTATTACAGTCACATATTCCAAATGAAAAATTGTGCCTTTTTTTCCCGTTTCTCTTTCCAAATTTAACTGACTAGCTACACTTTTTGTTCACTTTGTCTAAAAACACAAAAATCTACCTAAATAGAAAATAAATTTCTTATGTGGATAAAAATTTCACCATTTATCTTTGCCCAACCTAGTCATTAGGCATATTCCATATTTAAATAGATTTCATTTTTTCTTTAGTCTTGATTCTTTCTTGATGATTTTTTACACAGTTTTAGGACCTGAAACACTGGGAACGAAACCTTCAACAACAACATTAGGTAATATACTTACTGAGTTGGTGACCACTATTTGCTCTTTTCATGACTGCTGGTATCTCTGTTGACAGGCACACATTGAAGAATTAATACATTAATGTCCACTTGTGTGTGGACAAAATCCTATAAAAATCCTAAAGCCCTATAGATATAGTTTATAAACTATTAATATATTTCATTTTTTAAAGTTTTCTTTCCTGAAATACTTTCTGAATTCAAAGCCTTTTGCATATGTTGTTGATTTGTAGATTTTTAAATACTAAATGAAAAACTTCTTCATTTGAATCTTAGGCCAAATAAATCTTAATTTTTATCCCACAGCCTTCTTAAAAGCAACCTTTCTCATGTTCCAATGAGCATATACCTTTAATACAGGTATTTTTATGTGACTATCTTCTCTAAATTGTACAAAGTTGAGATTTTCCATTTTCAAAACAGAAGAATAGACAGATCTCTTGAACAGTTTATTAATCTTTCACAAAAAATTACTTAAGACCTCATTTAACTGGGTAAATAATGATAGAATGTTGCAAAAACAGATGGATATTGTCTATAATAAGTCAAAGGGCTTACATGTGCTTATAACATAGATGTGATATTTACTATCAGTTTGTGGCAACACCCTTCCTGTACTAAATAGATAATTTTTTTTCTTCAGCTCCACCAAAGACCAAACGACCAGGCCGCCGCCCCCGTCCCCGCCCTCGTCCTCGCCCTAAAACCACACCTAGTCCAGAAGTGCCCAAGTCCAAACCGGGTAAATGTGATGTTCAGGGTTCCAATTAACATAAAAAGTGGAATGTGGCAGCTTCTTACTTAGTAGTTATCAGCTGCTCACATTGCTGGGTTTTAGGAACCAGTGGAGTTGATTTTTATGTCTGAGCATCTGTACTCACTGTCTATATTCATATTATGTATATAACATATTTTATATAATATTTTAGTTATAGTTGTTAAGATACACACAGCAGAAATCCAGCCCATTAAGGGATTATTAAAGTAAGGCGCCTTGAATGATATGATCCGTGTTCATGACAGATGAGGTGTGAAAAAGAATTAAGGAAAAGAGGAATAAGTCGGGGAGAAAAGGGAAATTCACAGTCAGAAAAAGTACCCAGTTTAGGTGGAGTGTCCTAGTTGGAGGCATAATGTTTCCTTCCTCAAGATGCCACTTCTCGACATAATTAGCACTTTTGGTTTTTGCTTCTATAGCTCTGGAACCTGCCACAGAACAACCGGAGCTCTTGGTGCCCACAATTGGTAATTCTACCTGGATTCTAAATCTACTATTGTCATGGATTGTCACTTTTGCTTTTCCCATCCCTCACCCCAGGCATGACTGCAGTTCTACCACCTCATCACCATTTCATCCCACGCTTCCCCTCACCCTCCTATCTGGACCTGAAGAGCCTAAAGATAGGAGAGTTCTTCTAGAAGGATCCCAGCGTGCTCATTTAGGGAAGGGGTGTGGTCTTGGACACAACTTCCTGGTTCTCTGCTGACCCTCTGTCTTTCCATCACTGTCCCAGTGTTGAGAAAGCCATCGACTCTTTCTCAGACAGACTTCTGTGCTCATCCTGGCTGAACAAATAGCAAAATTTAATTACAGTGCCATGGTTAGCATTTCATTGCTTTACTCATTCAACTTGTGAGACTTTCACCCTTTTAATCAGCTGCATGAAATAATATCTTGAGTTTTTCTGTTTCATTGAAAAAATGTTTTCAGATGTTTCCTTAAGTATGTTTAGGAAACAGAGGTACAAAGACTATTCCTAGGATCTAATATAAAACAATTTATCATCTTTGTACTTGAGAGCATTAAAAGTCCCAAACTGGTTTACTGTTTTTAGTACTAATACTATTGAATATTACCATTTCCATTTTGTTGTTATTTCTCAACTTTCACAATCAAATCTGTCACTGCTTTAGTTTGGAAAATTCCAGATATCAGTAGCCATGTAACATTATTTCTTACGTGTAATTTTAAATGTTTATGGATTATTTTCCAGATCTCCTCCTAAGCAAATTTCAATTTTCTACCTTACTGTTTTTATACTAAAGAAAATCTATCAATCAAATAAATAGAACTAATATACTCTGTCCTTTTTGAACTTATATAGGAAATAAGTATTATGGCAGTTCTCATTACTTCTGCTCAAAGACACATTTTGAGTATTTCCTGACAATTTTTCATTTCAGGAAAAACTAATTATGTAAGTGTATAGTTAAAATGGACTCCTTTTTCACCCTTCCCATACCCCAGGAATTAATTTTTATATAGTCATTGAATTTATATAGTGTTTTTTTCTTTTCAGAATATATGTCCTTATTTTTGACAGTCACATCCATAGCCATTATGCTAATTTTAATACCTTTTCCTTTAGCATCAAAACCCTCCAAGAGACCCAAAACCACACACAGACCAGATGAGCCTCAAATCCAGCCTGGTAATCACTTCTTTCAATGCCTTAATCTATAAATAGGAAAACAACGTGTAAGTAACATTAATCTTCACAGCTCAACTGTCACACTAATTATGGCACTCTTTTTCCTTCAGATTTAAAACCACCAAAGCAATTTTTTCCTAAACCCCAAACCACAGCAAACCCAGACATGCCACCAACTAAATCCGGTAAACATAATTTCCAGTGCTTTAGCTTAACAGGATTTTCTTTGGAAATGTTGCTGAAAATGTTTATAATCTGTCATATCATATAAATCATAGAAACTCAAATAACCTGATTTTGTTCATTATCTCCTCAAAGTAGCCACACTGATGTTTTAAGAGCTAAATGAAGAAATCAATGTATGACAAATTAGTAAATTTTAAATTTTACATCTGACTGACAGATTCTGTTTTATTAAAGCATATTTAGGCCTTGTTTTCTGAATTTGTTATAAATAGAAACCTGAATTTTCTGTATCTGGAACGTTTTTGAAAGTGATATTATTAACCACTACTAGTCAGTACACACAGAAGGCTGACACTGTTCTTTCTTTATAGACTGAGAAGAAGATTTACTAGTCAGCAACTGGTGTCCTCTAAAATACCCTATTGACATTTTAAACAGTAACTGTTAACTGACTTTCTACCCTATAAGATGTTTATATAACAGTTCTGAAAATTCAACTGCTTTGCAATTAAAATTTTCTCCTAAGAGTCCAATTAGTGTAAAATTCTGATTTGCTAAGAGCAGCTCTCATAATAAATAAACCTATCAAGAAGGCAATATATATCAACCTAGAATAAACCAGGCTCAGTATCCTCTGAATTAAACAGTGAGGCCCTAAAAATTTTGACTTTATTACTTACATCTGTTTATTTTTTGTGATGCAGTCTTTGAGGCTGTTCCATTTGAAACTGAAGTTCCCTCGATGACCATAGGTAAAGATGCTTTCTTCCATCTTTGCTAATGTTTCTCTGAGCTTGCCCTTCTCATCTCTTTTGTCATTATCTGTATTCTCCCATATGCACAATTGTCATTTGACACTTTTTTCCATTCATTTCCAAAAATGGTTTGCCATTTTCAACAGTGACCCTCTTAACATCAAGTTAGGCATCTTCTGCTGCTCAGCTTGTAACACCTGAATATTATTCCTTCTTCAGTCTCATCTGGAGATATTCAGACTGCTTGCACTTGATGCTGTCAAGACTCATAGGCACTCTGTCCATCCGTGCTTCAAACCAGGAAATTTCTAAAACCTCTGCTTGAGTGTGTGTGTTATACAATCTATGGATGTGGGAGGGGAGCAGTGAAAAAGCTGGTTGGAGCTTCTCCTCAGTGGGCTTATAAGAAGTTTGTGATGGTACATTATTTTCTCATTCTCACAAAAGTCCTTCCTTGGGTCCATCCTATGTTCAAATACTACTGGATCTTTCTGTTGTCAAATTCATCTTGTGATGCTAAATTCCAAACAAAATAGGAATTCCCTGTTTTGTTTGAAGTTATAAATAGTGTTTTCATCCTGTTGTCCTGGCTTCCTCCAACTCTTCTGTATGTTAGTTCACAAGATGTTTTCAGGGTGGCTTACACCAACTTTGTGCTATGATGTCTTGAGCAATGAGGGAAAGTCACTCTCTGTACAAATGCTTAAAGGGTTTTTGATGACGAGATGTTAGAAAGTTACAGTTAGTTTTCTGGATTTAATGAAAATAAATGGAAACGAATATAAAAGAGTTATAATTCTTAATTAACTTCATATCTGTGCATGATTATTTCTGAATATTATAGAAATCTTATTTATCCAGACAAAAAGTTGAATGATTGCCTTTCACACTTTTTCTTAGTCATCTCTGTTCCTTACTTGAATAATGATCTCCTACTTATCCATTTGAACTAAATAAAGATATTGAGCAAGAAGCAATATCATATTATGAAGAAAAGGCACAAATTTACCTTTGCACAACTGCTAACAGATCTCCAGTAAACAGACTAATTAATAACAGTATTTTTAATTCTCTTCATAATTACCACCCTCAAAACAAATGAATAATGGTGTTGAAAGTCTTTCAAATACTAACAGAGGCTTTTGTAATAACTTTTTGGTGTAATTTAAGATTACATTTCAGACAACTAAGAGATTTTCTTGGAGCCAAGCTTTTGATGTAGTTAGAATAGATGACCAAACACAGATAAATACTTTTGATTGCCCTCATAGAGATGCAGAGAGCAAAGGATATGGCTATTTTGTGATAAATGCATGTGAGAGTGTAGCCAGCTCCTGGAGAACAAATGCTATTTTCTCAGAGTTCAGCAGTGCTTTTCAAACATTACAGGGTTGAAAAGATTCATCTTCAAGATTTGTTTTTTTATATTTTTTAATCTCCATTGTTTATTATATTGCTTTTGGTTAGTTCCTACCACAGCCATTGAACCCAAAACTCTGAGAACTGAGACTCCAGAGACAACATTAGGTAATGACCTTTCATGTCTTTAAGCATGTGCTTTTTCTGCTCATTGTCCAATCTATTCCATCACTGTCTGGGTCAAGTGGTTCTTTTCTCTTATAAGATTTTCTCATCAGCCTCTTGTCATTCAACTATATTCTCCATTTTGAATGTATTGAAGATCCTTAGTTATAAGCCTATATATAGCTAGTAAAAAGAATCTGTCTTCCATATTATCAGCTTTATTAATACTTTATAGAACCTGTGATTCTGCTCAAGCAGTGTTTTATATTAAAGCTGCATTTCAAATACAATTAGGAGTATCTGCTCCATGAACATCAACTATAATTCTGTGGGCATCCTGCTTTTTGTTGTTTTGAGATATGTAGGGCATTTTTATTATCTATTAACTATTTTAAGATATGATATATGTTTATCCTAATAATTTTATTGGAATATATGCCTAAGATAAATAATTTCTAAGCATACCTTCCCCAAAGCAGGTAAGCTTGGGCCCTTACCTGAAGTGATGTTGACATGCCAGATGTCTAACTTCCCTTGGGTCTGGGCCCTCTTTGAAAATCATACCAGCAACTAATAATAAAGTTTTCAAATTGTTCAAATAATAATATGTTTTCTATCTGTCTTAAAAGACCTATCAGTAGACCAAAAAAAAAAGAAAGAGAGAAAAAGTTTTTGCATATAGATGACCAGGAAAAAATTCCAAAGAGACAAATTTCTTAAGACTTGGGGAGATTTTTAAAAACCTAGGGTCATGTGTAATCCTTTCTTTAGTTTCTGGAGTCATCATAAGACTACAATAACCAGTTTCTTTTCCTTAGCTCCAAAAACACCACGAGCAAGAACACGCCGTCCACGTCCCAAACATAAAACCACACCACGCCCAGAGACACCTCAGACCAAACTAGGTAAATAATATGTGGTTCTTATGGAGCCCAGCTGGATGTAATATGGGGGTGGCAGTTTAACATGCCACCTAATAACCCCTGTGACCTTTCATGGCAAAGGCTCAAGTCATGGAAAGCAGTTGCTACCAATATAGTGCTCTGGCAAATACCCGTGACTTTCTCATGCCAAGGACCTCCTTGGTGCCTGGTTATTAGATTTGCTTCTCTGACATTCTATTACATTTTTTATTCTGGCTCAGCAAAACCTTACTAGTTAAGTATCTAGTTAGCATATTTAGTTCACTCCTTTTGTTCAATACCATATTTGCATCTGTGAGGAATATTGTAGAAATAACAAATGGACTTAATATTAAGAAGTCGCTCCTTTGTAAGGATGTCATAATATAAAGGGATATGGGTAAAAGCAAATATGTATTAAGTTTTACTAACTGGTAGGAACATAGTTCCTTCTTAGAGAAGCAAAAAAAAAAAATTCTGCGAGCTGATAAGTGTAATGTGGACCCTGAAATTTGTAGCATCTGTGGACTTGTGGGTGGATGGGAAGGTACATGTGTGGGTGACAGCAGAGAGACAGCGATTAGAAATGCAATCTGATTGTGAGATAGGTAGTGTTCCCTTTGCTGAGCAGTGATGCTCCTTTTGAATGTGTCCACAAAGAGCACCTTGAATGCCTGACTTCCATGACGGGATATAAGCCAGTTGGCTACAGTCTGCTTTCCCATCCTAGGGGCAGGCCTTTTCTGTCCTGATAACAGAGAGATGCACTAACAAGTTTGATGGATTGAATGACCTTCTCTATCTAGCTCTTTGTATGCATGCCTTTGTTTGAACAAAGGTCTTGGTCTTTTTCCAAAGTGAACTCTCAGCAAAAAAGAGCGTTGTCTATTTTGGTTATTCATTGTATCTGCTTAAATATGTCAGTAGTTGCATCTATCATGAACTAGTGTTTTGTTTTCCAGTCTGTAGTATTACAAATTATACTTTCGTATTCTTTAATCATTAAACATAACGTTATTAGATGGCTAAATATTTTTCTAAGCAGAATTTTCTGTTGGATTATCAGGTAATATAAAAACAAGAAAAACAGCTAATCATGTTGGTGATGCTAAGGATATATCTATTTCATAAGAACAAACATCTATGTACCTTAAAGTTCTATGAGAACTTTAGATTTTGTTTGGTTTTGGCTGTAGAACCAATGCTATACTGGTAAAGCTTTACGTTTAAGAGAATGATGGCTTTTCTCATGTGTTTAACATTTACTTCTTTTTTTAAATTCCTTTCGATCATTTCTTGCTACAGACTTTGGACCTGTTACTCCTGGGATCTCTTTAGGTAATGATTATTCATGTTCATCAGCAAGTGCTTTTTCTTACTCATTGTCAGACTTTGCTATTGTGCTGTATAGATGATGGTTGCCATCCTCTGTTGCCATCCTGTTACAGTATTCATCTTGAAATATTGAAGGTTTTCCTTTTAACCGAAATGTACAAGGACTTAATTCAAGATGGCTATCTGCTTCATGGCTCAGCTCAAAATTGTATTATGTCAATCTGAGTCTCTGAACAGTGCTGTTGGAGCTGAGATCCAACCATGCCTCCCTATATACCCCTTATTTAGACCACTGGTACAGTAACAGTGGTGATGCCACAAAGTTTCTTTAAGCATCTTTAAATTTTTCAAGTTCAATGTAAATTCTTTTGGCTTTGTTGGTGTCTCAGTGAATTTTGTATACTTATTCTAGTAAATTATCGAGTGGAAAATTTGTCCAAGGCTAGTTATCCTGAATTATAAGTGAATACTGTAGGATTGGTTAGAACACCTCTCACGCCATCAGAATTGAGCAGTGATTTGTAACCAGTTTTGGATTTGAGACACTTTTAAGGAAATAGTGATAGTTCCTAATCTTCACTTATTAGACCTAATTATATGTATAAACTTTGTCTCTGGAAAATTTCCAATTTCCGAAGAAAAAATATTAATATACTGAAAAAGAAAGTTTCAAACTAAAGTGGTAACTCTCAACTCAAACTCTAATAAGTTAAAAAAACAACAACAACACTTAGACATATGTTATGTCATTCTAGCCAGTTAATAGAGCCCTTAGCACTATATTAATCCTACATTTTCTTCCTTCAGCTCCAACAACAACAAAAAGACCCCGTCGTCCACATCGCAAACCTAAAACCACACCCCATCCAGAAGTACCTCAGACCAAACTGGGTAAATATGTGGTCTCTGGTTTGAAAAATTCAAGCAGTCTACCCCAGGTGGGATCCTCGGTTCTGTGCACGTATGATGTATTGAATCATGCCCTGTACATCGCTTAAGAGTAAAAGCTAGTAGTTAGTGAGGAGACATGAGACAGCTGAGCACCCCTCGCTGCCTTCATAGGAATCTTCTCTATTAATGGTTATTTCACTTACTCTTCTTGCTATTTGATTTCATTCACAACTTTAAAATAAAGCTACTCAGGGGAGTATTGAGTCAGCACAATCAGTTCAAATCAGTCACTTGAACTGAATCCCTTCTAATTCCCCAAAGTCATGTTTGTCCACTCATCAGAAGTAGGAGGTGTGCTGTATTTCCCAGTCGGTTTGTACTGTGGTTGTAAACAAAAGCTTTTCCTATACAACCAGGGAGAAAGTAACATAAGGCAGCACATTTATGCAGCTATAAAATAATTTATTGCATTGGTATAGAAAAGAACCAGAATAATTGGAAAGAAATCAGTGTAGACATTGGTTGAGTAGAAGGATGACAAGCTGGGGTTGTCCTGGAGCCACACAGAGGACAGCTTGTTGGTATTCTGTCAGGTTGTCTACTCAGAAGCTTTGGTTTGATCCTGTGGGCTTCAGTGATTCCTATTTCTGCACAGGATCATGCTTCTTCTGTTCTTAGAACTGGAGATACCCAGTCTAATGATACCAAACATTGAGAGTTGGTTCTTTACCAAGTTACATTAAGTACTGCTGTGTGCGTTGGTCTGGTGATTCCAGTCTCAGCTTTCTTTTGGCTATGTTGGTATGTATGGTGGACAAACCCTGGAGAACCCCCAATAATTCCCTCCTCCTGGGGTTAGTACTTGTATAATCTATCCTCTCTATCTTCTTGCCACCTTCCCTTCCCTTCTATCTTCTTCTCCCTTGGGATAGCATGCAGATACACACACATCCCTAATCAAGGGAGTGACACCCATTGCCTTTGCTTTATTCCATTGGTTAGAAGCAGGTTAGCTCCAGTGCACACTCAAGGGTAGGGATTACACAGAGGTGTTAACACCAGGAGGCAGAAATTCCTGGGGATCACCATAGAGTCTGGGTGCCACACTGTGTTTACTTTCAGATAGATTGTTTATTGCATCTTTCATGCTTGGTTGCTGCTTATAATGAATTCTCTCTGGATTTTGCTTCTACAAAACTCTAGTTGTCCTTACCATGTCTTTTTTTTTTTTTTTTTTTTTTTTTTAAGTCAGAGTCTCACTCTGTCACCCAGGCTGGAGTGCAGTGACACACTCACAACTATTGCAGTCTTCACCTGCTGGGCTCAGACAATCTTTCCACCTCAGCCTTTCAATTACCTGGAACTACAGGCACATGCCATCATGCCTCACTAATCTCTCATTAATTTTTTTTTTTTTTTTTGAGTTGGAGTCTCACTCTGTCACCCAGCCTCAACCAGCTGGGCTCCGGAGATCCTTCTGCCTCAGCCTTCCAGGTAACTGGAACTACAGGCGCGCACTACCACGCCTGGCTAATTTTTGATTTATTGTAGAGATGAGGTCTCGCCAAGTTGCCCAGGTAGGTCTTGAACCCACGGGCTCAGGTAATCCACTCACCTCAACCTCCCAAAGGCACGAGATTACAGGCTGAGCCACCGAGCCCGGCTCTCATTAATTTTTTGATTTATTGTAGAGACAAGGTCTTGCCAAGTTGTCCGGGTTGGTCTCAAACCCCTGGATTCAGGCAATCCTCTTGCTTTCACCTCCCCATGTACTGGGATTGCAGGTGTGAGCCACCATGCCTAACCTACCATGTCTTTTTCTAAGAAAATGACTAACCAGATTTTCTAGTATGTTCATGTTTGCTAGGATCAGATGTTCAAACAACAAGGAGATCTTACTACTGACTCTGTGAGGTACTTAGCAGAGTCCAAAGACTGACTATCTTCTGAATCAAATGCTTGCCTTACTAAAGTGTGGAGAATATTCAAAGAAAAAAAAATACATCCACTTTCTCTTGAGTTAAGAATACTAAAAATTAACTTTGCGTCCTTAGAAACATTATTTTACTGGTAAGATAACTTTTCTGATACTTCATTCATTCACAAAATCTCTGTGGTTTCTTTTTATTACTTTTGATCAGTTCCTGCCACAGCCCTCGAACCAGTTCTTAGAACCGAGGCTCCAGGGACAACACTAGGTAACGATACACTTATTCATCACCATCTGCTTTTCCTACTCACTTATGACCCATTTCATCACCATCATAACCACAGCGTCTCCCATTTCACTACATTTGTGTGTTGCCATCCTCTGTCATTCAATTACTTTCTGATATGTTGAAGAGTATTGAAACAATTTCTTGTTTCTCAGTGAGCCAAACATAAACTTCATTCAGTGTATGTATCTTCAATGTAACACCTTTGAATTTGTGATGTCTTATTTCCATGTAACATGTTAACTACATTCTTTGTTACTGAGTTTCGAGCGTAATCAACACGGGAGTGAAGATGAAGGTATCTCACCCTGACCTCTAGGCTGAGTAAATCAGCACAGGTATTATGGTGTGATGTCATTCTTCTGCAGGTCTAAATTCCTATATTTTTACTATCTGCATGATTTAGGTTTTCTTTTAGCATTTTGAATAATAATATGGTATTTCTCCAGTAAGGAGCAAAATATAAGATATGTATGTCCATGACTGATAAACTTAATTATAAGCACCATGACTAGTATGAAATCACCCATCACCATTATCACTCAGCAAGGTTTGGGATTTTTTTTTTTTTTTTTTTTTTTTTAGTTCAGGAATCCCTATAAGAAGTTCCTTGAGATATCCTTGATACATCAATTCATGTTTGTGTGATTTTTGCTCTTCAGAAACGTGTAAATGATAGTGACGTCTTATCAAAATAGTGGCAAATATTTCAAACTTGAAAAACTTCCTGAGCCTCAAGAAACTATGGCAAATCTAATTCTATCCACAGCTTCTAGAACCCCAAGTACTACATTAATCTGAAGTTTCCTTCCTTCAGCTCCCGAGGTGCCTCAACAAACTCGCCATCCACATCCCAAACCTAAAACCACGCCAAGTCCTGAAGTACCTCAGACGGAACTGGGTAAATGTGTAGGTCCTGCTTAGGACATCCTAGCAGCCCATGTGGTGGGGCCCAAAAAAAACAAAGTGGCAAGTCAGGGTCCACAGCTGCCTCCATATCAGAACAGGCAACAGGAAACAGGGCTGGAGAGGTGGTACGATAGCCAAATTCTTTACACTTATCTCCCAATGTCTATTTAGTTTACTTCTCATTCAATTCTATTTCCCCTTTCAATACTGAAAGCTTATGAGCAATCAAAACAACTAGAGAAGAGATGTATGTTTGTGTAGAGGGACTGTTTTTTTCTTGCCAACTGTGAAAGTCATATAAGTCATAATAAGGATATAGGGCAAGAGTTGGCAAACTTTTTTTTTTTTTTTGAGTTAGAGTCTCACTCTGTCACCCAGACTGGAGTGCAGTGGCCTCTCCCGGCCACCGCAGCCTCGACCTGCTGGGCTCCAGCGATCCTTCTGCCTCAGCCTTCCCAGTAGCCAGAATTACAGGCATGCGCTACCACACCCGGCTGATTTTTTGATTTATTATAGAGATGTGGTCTCGTCAAGTTGCCCAGGCAGGTCTCAAACCCACGGGCTCAGGCAATCCACTCATCTCAGCCTCCCAAGGCTCGGAATTATAGGCTGAGCCACCGAGCCCAGTGGCAAACATTTTCTAGAAAGGACTGGCTAGTGAATAGTCTGGGCTTTATGGGCCATATAATCTTTGGAGCATTTTAAAAAATTTACAACCACTTAAAAACAGAAAAAAACATTCTGGGGGAAGGGTAATGGAGAAGTTCTGAAAGGCAAGAAATGTATGGAAGCCAGTCAGAGGAGACAGAATTTTTTCTCTGACCAACCATGACTGTTGGGCTTCTAGGTGTCGATTGGAACACTTCATTGAGGATACTGCAGTTAAGTGGCCCCATAGTTGAGAAGAGATTTTGAATGCTGGACTGAGGGTACTGGATTTCATCTGGGATTCATGAGTATCCACACACAGTCAGGCCTTCTCTGGGTATTGGGCAGAGTGACGCCCTGCTATACATCACAGACCGAGGGGTTGCCCCTTGGTTCCCTTAAGCACTCAGGTTGGACAAAGCTCATGATCTCTTTCCAAAGATGAGTTTTCAGCAAGATAGGGAGGATCGACTATGGTACATTAGTTAGGCTCAGACCACCAAAGAATGAGAGAAACTTCTGAGACTCTTCATATAAATTCTTATCTGAATACAAACTCAATGGCAGCTTCTCCTAAGAGATAAACTGGTACCCAAGGGCAGAGGCACCATATTCCCTCAGCTCACAAGCTAAATGCATTCACTTTGTGCTCTAGACACATCATGATCCTGGTAAAATTCTATTTTGAAGTGAATGTTCTCAGTTTTTATGAATTGTTAATATTTGTTGGGTGTTTAATTATTTTTGACCAGTTCCTGCTACCGTCTTTGAACCAGTTTCTCCTATAAAAGAGGCTCCAGGGACAGCATTCGGTAATGCCACTTTCTGACCTTCAGCAAGTGCTTTTCCTGCTTACTGTCAAGCTTGTTCCACTCTATGCTGCCATTCAATTACATATTTCGTTTTATGAGGATTGAACAATGCATAAAGCAAGTTGCCTCTTGTTCATAAGAAAGCTATTTCTGAATCTACTTTGAGATCTCTTCTTGCTCTGTAACTTATTTAACCTGTTTTTCATGCCACTTTATGTTTTTGGCTTAACCAGAGTTCTCTCTTAAAGTAACTTTCATATATCCTTGAGAATGTCTGACTTTGATCTATGCTAACCAGGCTGTAACACAGAAGTTTCTTTACACGCTCTTTGTACATCTATCTTCTTTTTTCCTTTTAATTTTTTTATTTTAAAGATGTGGGGTGCAATTCAGGGTTAGGTATACAAATGTTCATTATGCAGGTACCCTTGTTAACATCTATCTTTTTAACTTCCTATTATTTCTGTTGTTTTGCTAACGTGGGTAATATGTTTTTAATGTACTAACAGATAATGTGGTCAATTCTAATACATTTAAATAATAAGCCCCATCCGTAATGTGAAATCAGACTCTATAGTTTAGATGGTTCTTAACCTTTCTAGCCTAGGCACAGAACTCTAGGAGGATGTGATATAAATACCAATCCTGACTCTCTGAATTAATAACTTCATTTAATATGTCAATTTTTGTACCCAAAAAGTATCTTCAATAGCAAAAGAAGATAAAAGAGCATAGTAGGAACAAAATTCTTGCATTAGAGAGATATACTTCCTAAAATTCAAGAAAATCGATCAAGCTTTGGAAAACCTAAAGACTTTTTAAAATTTTATAATTTGCAGAGCCATAAATTTTTAAGTAACTAATAGTTTACTTCTCTACCTTCAAAAACCTCCAAACGGTCATATCATTCATGACACAAAATTATTCCAAGTCTAGCTTCACCTGAGACTACACCAGATAAATGCAGGGCCCTTGGTTTAAGGTCACTGGTTGAAATGTAAAACGATGTGCCCCTCATGAGGGGATTCTGAGGGGCTATTATCCCCTCAGAATTGGCAAGGGGGTTATGTTTAGAAGACATTAGTAGGATCTTCACTCTAACTGTCATAGGTCGAGACGTGTCTTACTTCTCAGTCTGCAGGTTAGTTGAGCACAATTACTTTTTCACACAAAAAGCCTAGAGAATGAAAATTAAGGCAGGGTGTTTTTGCAAATTCAAGACTTTTCTTGGGTATATAAATGTTGAATTTCAGACTTATTATAAGGCTTGAAGAAAAAAAATAACTTGGGTTTCAATAGAGCAGGGAAAGAGTCTAGGCCGTGAAGTTACATCAGAATTTGCACAAATGTGGAATGAACAAAGATGGGAAAATAGTGTATGTTTCAAAATAGCCAGAGAAGGTAGCGATCCTGCCACTTCCAGGGTTAGTCAAAACAATTTTTGTTGGTAATTCTGCATGAGAATGACATGGAAAGTAGAAGGAGGTCTTGCATATCCTATTCTTTGAGTCTGACATTGCTCTCAGGAGCATCAGAAGTCTCTTCTCACTGGAAGTTTTCCCTCTGCTGGGTGTGGGTGAGTGATTTAGTGTATACAACAGACTGATCAGCTGCCTTTTACCTGGTCCTCTTGAGTGCCTTTCTTTGGACAGAAGTGACAAGCTCTTTCCAAAGCTGAGTTCTCAGCAAGATTCATCATAGTCATTTTTAGTTATCTGTGTAATGGCTGCTTGGATATTTTGGAACTTTTCTGCAACCATAATTTGATAAACATAGTAGATGTTTTCTTTATTCAGTATCTACTAAAGTGCAAATTAGTTTTCCATGTGCTTCTTGAGAATGGTTAGAAACATATTCAAGTAAATATCTAAAAATGTCCTAAAGTCTTCCACAGACGATAAAACAGTATAACTAGAGAACTGTTTGTGTCATGTGGTGCTAAACAGAGACCAAAAGTGATGACTATTCTCACGAGGTGTAGTACCTGGCTGTGGCTGGGCCAAGTCTAGACAAAATATTTGATTTCCCTTTTAATTAGTTTACCAGGGCTGTCACAAAGTAGTTCAGATTAGGTGGTTCTAGAAACTAGAACTCCAAGATCAAGATGTCCACAGGTTTGGTTTGTCCTGAGGCCTATCTCCCCGGCTTACAGATGGCTGCCTTCTCACTGTTTCCTTACATGGCGTTTTATCTTTGTGTGCACATCCCTAGTATCTCCTCTTCTTAGAAGGCCATGAGTCCTATTGGATTGGGGTCCCTCCTTATGACCTCATTTAACCTTAATTATCACTTTGAAGATTTTAATCTCCAAATACAGTCATTGTGGGGGTTAGGGTGTCAATATATGAGTTTGGTGCGGGAGGGAATGGATACAATTCCGTCCATAACACCTTCATCCAAAAACTGTCTTAAATTATCCTAGAGGCTGTGTTAACACTGGCAGGATCCATTTTGAAGCGAATACAGTAGTTCATCATACATTTTTTTAAAAACTCTTTTGTTTATTTTATTACTTCAGTTCCTGTTACAGAGCTTGATCCTGTTACTTTTAGAACTGAGACCCCTGGGACAACCATAGGTAATGACCCTACCACTTCTTGGCTATTAGCTGGGTGCTTCCGCTGTTCTTTGTTCATTCCATTCAGTCTCCATCCCCATAACATGGCTTATCCCCTTCTATGCCAGCGATCATCATCCTCTGTTGCCATTCAGTCATTTTCATCATCTGAAGAATACCAAAGCCTCTTAAAAACAAGTTTCCTGTTGTTTTTACGAGAGCCAGACATGAGCTTAGTTGAAAACATTTGTCTGCTGTGGGATGCATTTTTTTAAATTGTCATGTCATTTTGTGCTTCACTGAGCAATGTTCTATATTAACACTAAGTTTTCAAACAACTTTGATAACTGCTAATATTTCTTATCTAGACTGATCCACAGGAATGGCTGCTCTTATTCTCCTTTGAACATCTAAATTTCTAGATTAAATTTTAAAAACTGTTTACATGGTATGTTTGTTTCTTTTTGGCACTTTAAGTAATGATGTGCTTTGTTACTAATTTGACAATTAGGAAATTACCCTAACCTGAAATTATTTTTTTACTTATTTGTTTTGAGTTGGAGTCTCACTCTGTCACCCAGGCTGGATTGCAGTAGCACATTCATGGCCACCACAACCTCAACCTGCTGGGCTCAGGCAATCCTTTCCCCTTAGCCTTCCGAGAGCTGGGATTACAGGCATGCATTACCATGCTTGGCTATTTTTTTTTAAAATTTATGTAGAGATGAGGTCTTGCCAAGTTGCCCACTCGTCTTGGACCCCTGGGCTCAGGCAATTCTCTTGCCTCCACCTCCCAAAGTGCTGGGATTACAGGCATGAGCCACCACACCCAGATGAATTTTTAAATTACAAGCCTTTTCCTTAGTGTGACTCTGCTTTCTTCTCCCCTTTCATTGAACACTTTGTCTCAATTAGTTTTCTTCCAGTGAGGAAGTTCCATGAGCTTCTCAAAACAAGTGCTAATCCTCATGCCTTGGATAAGCAGCTCAACTATATACATGAGTTTGCCACCAAAGTATAATTTTAAAAGAAGGCACATAGGTATTAAGGAGCAAAAAAGTAAAACTAAATAGAACTAAAGTCCCTGGAACTTTAGAAAATCTGACAAGTTTTGGAAAAACCTCTCCTCAGAATACAGAACCATAAGAACTAAAGTAACACAAGGCTTTTCTTTCTTCAGCTACCACAACGTCACAAAGAACCCGTCGTCCACGTCCCAGACCTAAAACCACACCAAGCTCTCAAGCACCTCAGACCAAAATGGGTAAATGTGAGATTCCTTGGTTTAAGGGTGAGCCCTAGTAGACTGTCCCAGTGAGGACGTGAAACAATGCCAATGTTGGGCGGTAACAGCTCTTATTCTCCCTAAGTGTGAAGGCATGAGGCGTCATAAGTAGCTTTTTGTCTACCCAGTTTTCAAGGAGAATATGACTGGATGAGACCCAACTGGGGCCAGAATATCTTATTTTTCTATGTGAGACTCTTCTTTGAAACGTTGTATTTAGAATATTTCTTACTATCAGATTCCATTCAAAACTTAAAGGCAAAGCTTCTTTAGCAGAGCCAAAATATTCAATTCAAGTAAACAAATTGCAATCGCCTTGCATATTCGTGGTCCCACGTTGGTAGCCATGTGTGATACACCAATTGTAGGAGACTTATTTCACTTCTAAAACAGTTGAGTTGAGGACATAGAAACATAAAGTAATGATCTTGTAGAGAAAACGATCAAGGCTGCCTGACTTGAGTGGCGAACCTTGGGCCCCCTGCAGGATTTGGACGAATGGAGAGAAGAAGGGATCGTGGCAGAAGGACTGAACATCAAGTGGGAGTCAGTCAGAATAGCAGTCTAGTCTAGATGGGCTTCTTCTAGATGGTCAATTATGGCTGTTGATGATGCTGCATTTGGAAGTGTATGTCTAATCAGTTGGAGGATTTTGATGACCTGATTTAGGAGCTTGGATTTTATTAAGAGACAACATCTTTTATTTCCACTTTTCCTAGGCTGAGGGCAGACAGATGCACTCTTGAAAACTGAGTAGCCATCTTTATCCTTCTTAGTCTAATTTGATGATAAATTTTCATATCTATTTCAACTTTATAAACTATCTCTCATATCCATGTTTACGTAGACATAGTATGTGCTAATGTTTAGAGATGCACAGTAATCATTTTTTAAACAATTTATTTTCTAGGTATATATTAGATAAATGTGTTATAGCATTTTCCAAAGCAGAGTTTTCCATATCAGTTAGTTAAAACCCTAGGAAAATTTCATGTTATCTTATTTAAGCTACTCAGGATAGTTCAGAGGCTAAGCCTGAGACTGGCCGTGACTATAACTTGGCCAAATTTTCAAGAAACTAGCATACATTCCTTCTCTTACTTAAAACATTATTTTTTGTTGTTATTTCTGTAGAAGAACTGATATACTAGTAAGATTTGTTTACATGTGAATATTCTAACTTCTCATACATTTTTAAATCTCTGTGGCTTATTGTGTTGTTTCTGGTCAGTTCCGGCTACAGTCCTAGAACCTGTCGTTCTTAGAACAGAAGCCTCAGGAACAACATTAGGTAATGTTATTAAACTTTTTCTTAAAATAAGTCTTTTGCTTATTGTCAAACCTCATGTTTCATCTTGCTTCATGTGACAACAGTATCATTCCTTGTGTCCATTCAATTATACTCTTCTTAAAATCTAGAGTCACATTTTCACCTCCCATAACTTCCAGAACTATAGATACTGGAGTTATGTAGTAACCTAAGAATTTCTTCCTTTAGCTTCCAAAACATCACAACGGACACGTCGTCCACGTCCCAGACCAAAAACCACACCAAGTCCTGAAAGACCTGAATCCAAACTAGGTAAACCATGCATTCCTGGTGTATATAAAGCATTCCATCAACCTAACCCAGCAGGGTCTCAAGAGTAGTCCTAGTGGTTAGGAATAGCCAATAGACTCCTACAAAAGGAAAGGTACAGTTCATGATCAGCAGCAGTTCCCACTGGAGCAGTGGTAAGAGGAACACACTTGCTCGGGGCATCTGTGGTGCAGTGGAATATTCCATGCTTCCTGTGTACAATCTTCTCTGTCACTGTGCATTTTGTTAACTTCCACTTATCTCTTGAAAATAAAACTCTTTTAAAAAGAAAAGCTAGGTATATTCAGTTCAAGTCAACATTTAAGTGTCTTCAGTGACTTCCAGATCATATTAGCACCTTTGTGGGGGTACACACCAGATGTGCAAGACATGCTTTAGTCCTCAGACCAGCAAGAGAATTGAGAACAAAAGACTTTCCCTTATAAATAAAGTAGAAGGCAGTAGGTGGTATCTATGCAAATACAAAGTTGTTTTTTGGGGAGTGCTACCAATAAATTGTGCTTGGTATATAAATATTTGGAGCAGAAAAATATAGATTAAAGACTGGAGCCTTAAGATTACCATAATAATAGGTGTATAGAAGGTGGGAAGAATAAAATCAGAAAGAGGTGTCATAGAGACCAGAGGAGAGAGTCTAATCAGAAAATTGACTTGATGATGTCTTCAAGATGGTAGTCACAATCTTTCCGTATCTCACTGGGTCCCTATATCCCCATGGTGGAGATCCCTAGGTGCCTGATGGCACAATTGAGATTAAAATCTGGTATATATCACAAGCTCTTCTTTCCACATGAAGGCATGCTCTTTCTTTGCTTAAAATGGAAAGTTACCCTACTCAGTTCATGCTGAGGCTTCTGTCTCATTCCAAAGATGAATTCTTGGCAATACCTACCCAGTTCATTTCAGATTATTAATTAAATAATCAAAGAAGGAGGTACAAGGAAATAAGTTCCTGGTTTAGGTATGGCCAAATTTTAAAATTCAGCTGTCTATCTTTTAACAGTTTTTAAATTTTGCTGAATAATTCTACAAACTATATTATACTAGTAGGATTCATTTTTTAAAAAGTTTTGAACTTTCATTTATTTAAAGCTATCATTTGGTTTATTTTAATACTTTTGGTCAGTTCCTACTACAGCACTTGAACCTGATATGCTCAGAACTGAGACTTGGGTGACAACACAAGGTAATAACACACTGTTATCCTAAGTGTTCTTTCTTCTCATCGTCAAACCCATTTCATCTACATCATAGCCACAGATTCTTCTGCTTTATAAAACTATATCATCATTCTCTGTTGTCATCCCGTCATATTCTTCATTTTAAAAAGATTGACAATTCTGACTCTTAAAACAAGTCGCCCCTTGGTTTTAAGAGAGCTGTGCATGAACCTAACTCTGGTTATCTGTTGGGCATGTAACCATTGAAATTGTTGTGTTATCCTCTGTGTGTGTGTGTGTGTGTGTGTGTGTTTACCAATGTTTTGTTAAAGATGACTTTAAAAAGCTATTTTCTTGAGTCTAACAGTTATGATGATGCCAGGGAGGGTTTTTTCCCCCCTAAAGTTCTATTCATTCATTCATTCATTCATTTATGGTATCTTTGTGATATTTGTTCTTTAATTGACATTATAGTTAATTATGTGGTATTATTTTAGTAAACTGGCAAAGAACTTATAACTGACCACCACTACCGTGATATTTTAGTAGTGAGTCATAACTTTTTTATTCAATAAATCCTATTAACTGTTACTCTTCACTTCTTAAATTAATAATTTTACTTTACATACGATACTTTTTTCCCAATGAACATCGAACTATAAATGGAGATATACTATTATAGTAAGGGTGAAAATTTCTAATTAAAAAATTAAAAAGACAGATTTCCTGAAATATAAGATAATCTTACAAGCTTTAGGAAATCCAGAGCCTTGTGTCTTGCTTCCTATAGTTTCTGAACTACAGACTCGGTAGTAACTGAAGTTTTCTTTCTTTAGCTCCTAAAACATCACAACGAACCCGTCGTCCACGTCCCAAACCTAAAACCACACCAAGTCCCGAGGCTCCTCAAACCAAACCGGGTAAATGTGGGTTTCTGGTTAAAGGAGAGCATTCTAGCAGCTCTTGGGCATTCATGACTGATGTCCATGGTAGGGAGTGATGACCCATGTGGGCAAAAGGTACAATGTGGTCGGCTGCTACTCCCACTGTTGAGTTAGCAAAGAAAAACACAGTTGGGAGAGGCCTGTGTGGCAACTGAATTCCTTGTACTTCCTGCACTGGGTCTCTTCCTTACTGTGTATTTTTGTTGTTGTTTACTACTCATTTTATTTGATTCTTCTCAAGACAAAACGTCTTAAATAGAACCAAATATTTTTATCTCTAGAAACAAATATTAAATACCTTCCATCTTCCCACAGCCACATCAACAGCTGTGATGATTTCACAGGAAGAGGAGGCTTGTTTTTGTTTTCTCATGTTGTAGTATAGTGAGAAGTCAAAACCTGCCTGGGTATGAAATATTCAAAGATTGAACTAAGGCAGTGTGTCTCTGCAAATCAAATTTGTTTTGGGGAGCTATAAACCTTTATGAGTTTAAATAAAGAAATTTGTAAAGAATAGCATTAAAGAGATGGAAATAAGTTGGGTCTTATCCTGGAGATGAAAAGAGGCAGAAAGAAAGATGTGGAGGGCACAGGCTTTCGCAAATGAGCAGGATAGTGCTGCATTGGAAGGGTTCATAAGAGCAGTTGAGAAGTCCTCAAAGGTATGACTCAGAAGTTTGCATCAAACCTAAGAACATCAACTATCTAGGGTCCTACGTTTTTGTTATTAGAACAGAGAGCTGCTCTACCAGACACCACACACTGAGTGTTTGTTTTTCATCCTGATTTGTTGAGTACCTTTACCTCAAATGAGATCGCTGCCTGTTTCCAAATATGCATTCTCAACAAGATGAGTGTGGTTCACTTTGTTTTATTCTTTGCTATGTCTCCTCCCAAGTGAAATGTTGATTGTATCCGCACTCTTTTAGACATACTATTTTTTTAGAGCTTCCACAGAAGTTTCCAGGACAGTTAAATAAGTAAATATTTGGTAAAATGTCTGAACAAGTTTCCAGGGCAGTCTTCGACAATAGTCAGAATTAGGTACTCAGATACCTATGAGAATATTGCGTTGGCTTTATTGAGATGCTTACCAGATCTTATAGGCTATGACTGAGTGCTTTCAAAAGATTGTTTACTTGACTATAAGGTGACCAAATCCTCAACAACTAGTATTAAACTTCAGAAAATGTATTCAAATTGTTATGCACCTGTTGAAGCAATATTATACTGGTAATATTTAATGTACTGACTTTTCACAAGTGCTTATTTCACTGCTTTAATTAGTTCCTTCTACAGATCTTGAACCTGGTACTCTTAGAACTGAAACTCCAGAAATCAAGGGTAATGAGAATGTGTGTCCTTCAAATAGTGCTTTTTCCTGCTCATTGTCACCTCATGGTGGTCACAGTTTTCTCTGCATCTTAAGACTATTCCATTATCCTTTGTTGTCATTCCATTACAGTCTCTATCTTGAAACTATGCAGGCTCTATGTCAAGTTATTGGCTGAATTTAAGAGAACTGTGCATGAACTAATTTCAGGACATCAAGCTGCTATGTAACTGCTCAACATCATGTCATGTGATCTTGTGCATTTGTTTAAAAGGAATTGACCACTTTAAGCTGCGTTTCAAGCATGAATCTCCATCTATCCCTTATTTGCACTGCTTCTCTCTCATCAACTGTAGAAATGTACTGTTTCTTTGCTCATATTTTTTTATTGTATTAGGATCTGTATGGTATATCAGTGGATTTGTTGTTTCCAGAATAATGTTTTTAGTAAATTGGAAATATTTTAAATGTGCCCAAATTTGAAAGTTTGAATAAGTGTAGACTAACTCTTCTTCTTTAACAGGATTTAATGGTATTTCTTAGCTTTTATTGAATCAAGGAGCACTTTGAGATTTTGATGTACACAATTCATTAATTATATGTTGCGCTTTATGTTTTCAAACATATAAACTCTCTGTTGTACCCATAATTATTTTAAAAATAGACAAAAACATCAGACATTTATTTCAACTTCTAGTGCAAGTAGACAGGTAAATGCTTTTTTCCATATATGGAAAAGTATCTATTAGGTAAATGTGTAAAAAGCTTATCTAGCAGTCTCCCACCTTAGCAAGGACTAGATAATCAAACATCTAGGAGATTGTCTTGTAACCATCTGGTGATATTTAACTGCATACAATGCTATCTTATAAGCCAATCTTATGAGATGAATGGGACCTGGCCAAGGTTTGACCAAATATGCAAAGAACAAGTGTTGCCTTTCTCTCAACTCTGAAGCTTAAAAATTGACTCGTGAAATTAATTTTCAAAGTGAATTTGTTAAATCTTTTTGGTCTATTTATTATTTTTTGACTAGCTGTTGCTACAGTCCTTCAACCTGAGACTTTTAGAACTGAGGCTCCAGAAACAACACTGGGTAATGATATCCTTTGTTCCTCAGTAATTTCTTCCTTCTCATTTTCAAACCCATTCCATCATCATCATAATCATGTTGTCATCAGCTTTATGAGACTGTCTTGTTATCCTCTGCTATCCTTCAATTTTATATTGCTTCTTCTTATGAGTGTTGATGATTATCACATTGAAGGTACCCATTGTTTCTAAAAGCTCTGCGTGGCCCTAGTTCATAATAGCTTTCTACCATGTCATCTTATTTGAATTTGTATCATGTAGTTTCGTCTAAATAGTATTCACATCTAAAGCTAAATTTCAAATATAGTTGGTAGTGTCTACACATCTTGCCTAGACCGACTAAACTCTAACAATTCTTATGGTACCATGGATTCTTTGTCACACTTAAAATTTTTAGTGTGAGCCTAAGAACCCACCCAGAGTTTGGCTTTAGTTTTTTTGAAGTTAGAGATTTATGAGTCTCTTTACTTTTGACTTGATTTTAAGTTTTCTCTCTCAAGAATCTTCAGTGACATCAAGCTGCTTAGTAACTGCTCAACATCATGTCACGTGATCTTGTGCATTTGTTTAAAAGGCATTGACCACTTTAAGCTGCGTTTCAACCATGAATCTCCATCTGTCCCTTATTTGCACTGCTTCTCTCTCATCAACTGTAGAAATGTACTGTTTCTTTGCTCATATTTTTTGTATTGTATTAGGATCTATATGGTATATCAGTGAATTAATAAAATAGGAGAAGATATTCTAATCTTAAAAGACATATGCCTTAAATCTCAAGGAAATATATCCTTAAAAATCTATAGATTTGTCTCCAAAGCCACCTGCACTAGAGTAATTCAGTTTCTTCCTTCAGCTCCTAAAGCACAACGAACACGTCGGCCACGTCCAAGACCTAAAACCACATCAAGTCCAGAAGTACCTCAGACTAAATTGGGTAAATGTATGACTCCTTGGTTTGAGGGGTGACCCCTAGCAACCTATCCTAGTGGTGACTCAAAGCAATGTCCATGATGGGAAGAAACCATTGTCATGTTCTCTAAGAAGCAAGTTATATGGTATAGTTATTAGCTGCTTCTCTACAGAGCACATGACTTGGGGAGATTTGTATGCCTGATCTCTTAAGTGACTTGGTTTGTGTGAAGTTCTTGGTCTCTCTTTACAAACGTGTTTACAGAAAGATTGGCATAGTCACTCATGATTATTTATTACTATATATGCATTGAAACATATGATCTAGTTATTGTAGCCATGATTAGATTTTTCACCTTCAAAGAAAGGCAACAAGTTTGTTTCATATATATATATCTTCATATACATTGCCTGAACAGATTTCCAAACTTCTAGACTAGTTTTAGAATCAGAAAACCAAATACCTGGAAAAAACTCATGTGGACAATACTAAGCCACATAGCAGGGTTCAAAAGTTGTGACCACTTTCTCCAATGAATTGTTCTGGCTACCGTGGTCAGATCTTCAAAAGCAAGTATTTGCTTCCTAACAATTCTAAAGTTTTTTTTAAAAGGTGCATAATTTGGAACTCATATTTTAAAAGAAAAATTAAAGTTTTGCATGTGTGTTCAAGCTTCCTTGCATTCATGTTGTTGCTTTTGGTGAGTTCCTGTTCCAGGCTTTGAACCTGTTATTCCTAGTACTGAGGCTTCAGTAACAACATTTGGTAAAGACTTTTGTGATTTTCATTAAATACATTTTCTTGCTAGTTAAAAACCCACTCCATCACTATCATGGTCAGATTTCCTCCTGCTTCCTAAGATTGCTGTTGTCACTCTCTTCTATTCTAATAGGTCCCCTAATCATCGATGACCTTGGACACTTTTCTCCCCCACTACCGGTTAGCAGTGTCTCTTAATCTTTACTCCATAGTGATCCTTCTGAGTACCTATGCATATTAATATTAATTTCTTTAATTAACAAACTTTATACATAATCTTGGTCTCTTAAGTAATCCTCAGTGATAAGAAACTAGTAATTAATAAACTCAAAATCTAACCTGTTTTAAACAACATAGGTCCACATACAATGCTATTGGTGGTTTTTAGACCTACAAACCCAATGGTGACCCACGATCACCTTCCTTTCCTTTCAAAAACATAAAGGGGGATGAATGAGAAACCTTATCCACTGCCCAAACCTTAAACTTCCTGAAGCTTCTCCGTTGAAATAAGGAAAATCTTTGGCTTCTGGTTTAAGGAGTCTTTCTAGCTGTTGGGTCATAGGAATGACAATGAGGTCACTTTGAGCTTCCCACCCCTATGCCTTCTGAGAGAAAGGTCCCTCATACTGGTCCACAGCTTGACAGCTATAGCGTTCATCATTAGGTGTGTAGCTGAGAAAGATCTATGTTGTAGCTAAATCCATCTTGTGCCCTGCATGAGGATCGTCTCTGACAAAGGATGCATCTTATTCCGTTCTTACTCCATTTCATCATCTGTTTCTAATTGGTACTAACTGCTTTTGCTTAAGTAAGTAATCCTTTCCTTGTTCTCTGTATACTCAGTACTGTATTAGCTATTGAGTGGGGTAGGGTGGGGTAAGTAGCAAAGGCGGAAATTAAAGGTAAGGGCACATTTTACCTCTGAAACAGAATCCAATGTAATTGCGAAGAAAACTCAAGGTTTTCTTAGAGTCTTCTAGCTATAAGGCAGTTTACTTACATGACAGCAGTTTGTTTAACTGAGTGGCAAAACCAGAAAATATTCAAAGATGTCAGGGATCAATGTGGGTTAACAGTAGTTGGGCTTTGAAATAATTATAGGATTTGGATTAGTAGGTGGAATTGTGGGAACAGCAAAAATAAAGTCTTGATACCTGTTGAGGGTAGGCAAGCAGATGGTGGAGCTGAAATACAGAACAAAACATTCCTAGATGATACTCAACATTTTGTTGATGTTGCTAACATGAAATCATGTACAGAAAGTTATTAGGAAGCCCTTCTGGGAATTAAGACTCAGATATAGTCATCCATGAGGACCTAATTTTTTCCAATAGGCTCTTGGTTTTCCAGAAGGCCGCATTAAATCAGAGGTCAACAATTTTTTTCTGTAATGTATAAACAGTAAACATTTTAGATTTTGCAGGCATTCAGCTTCTGTCACAACTACTCAATTCTACTGCTGTAGCTTGAAGATAACCAGAACTGATACGTAAATATTCCCTGAGTTATTTTAGTTCATGATCTGTGTGCCAATAAAACTTTATTTGAATTTCAGACCATTTTCACATGTCATGAAATATTACTCTTTTCATTTTTTCCCATCACTTAAAAAATGTGAAAACCATTCTTGGCTCACCAACCAGACACAGGGCTGGTTAGCAGCGCTAGTTTGTTGACCTCTGCTTTAAATAGAGCACATTTTACATGTCTTTCTATAAATTTACAATTTTCAGGGTCTGTGCATTTTAGCTTATTGTTACCTCAGTCTGAAACCTATGGAATAAATTCTTCATAATTACTTTTACAACTTAGACCCTCTTCTTTCAGCTCCCACTGAACTGAAAACTCTTACTTTGAAACCCGTGACATCACCAAGCCTAGAAATGACACAAAGCCAACCTGGTAAATAGATTGTTTTATCTGTCTGAGTACACTATGTGCTTCAGGGGCATACTGTAATCCTCTAAGTGTTGTATTTCCAAAAATAAAAATGCAAAAAAATGCACATTTAATAACTCTTTCCATATTGTGAAATTCTCGTTTTGTGATTGCATAGTGGTGTTAAATTAGTAAAACATAGCCGGGCTTGGTGGCTCAGCCTGTAATCCCGCGCCTTTGGGAGGCTGAGGTGAGTGGATTGCCTGAGCCCACAGGTTCGAGACCCGCCTGGGCAGCGAGACCTCATCTCTACAATAAATCAAAAAAAAAATCAGTTGGGTGTGGTATCGCGCGCCTGTAATTCCGGCTATGCGGAAGGCTGAGGCAGAAGGATCGCCGGAGCCCAGCAGGTCGAGGCTGCGGTGGCCAGGAGCGGCCACTGCACTCCAGTCTGGGCGA